AAAGGAATTATAAGAATAAATTAAAAAAACTTCTTGTAAAGACCCAAAAGGCCTAGAGCTTAGATATTATGCATAAGGCATTGTCTGGTAGACCTCTACCAAGGTTGCTCAAATTATAGCCCTGGGGTCAAAATCGGCCCCGCCCAAGGGATCATTGATTTTCACTATATGTACATATAGTAAAAACTTAAAATACCTTCTTGTAACGACCCAAAAGGCCTACTGAGCTTAGATATTTTGCATAAGGCATTGTCTGGTAGACCCTTACCAAGATTGTTCAAATTATAGCCCTTAGGTCAAAATCGGCCCTGCCCCGGGGGGTCATTGATTTTCACTATATGTACATATAGTAAAAACTTAAAATACCTTGTAAAGACCCAAAAGGCCTAGAGCTTAGATATTTTGCATAAGGCATTGTCTGGTAGACCTCTACCCAGATTGTTCAAATTATTGCCCTGGGGTCAAAATTGGCCCTGCCCCAGGGTCATTGGTTTTCCTTATATGTATATAGTTAAAACTTAAAGTAAATACTTGAAGAAAATTTTTTTTCTAGCAATTGACAAATGCTAGAGGTTAGATATTTTGCATGAAACATTGTGTAGTGAACCTCTAGCAAGATAGTTCAAATTATAGCCCGGGGGTCAAAATTGCCCTGCCCCCCTCCCCGGGGGTCATTGATTTTCAATACAGTTGACTCTCGGTAACTCGAAATCCACGGAACTAGGTATTTTACTTCGAGAGAAACGGAATTCGAGTAACGTGGAACTACCGCCATTACGTTGACTTCGTACATGCATATACATGTACCTGATTGAATGTGCAAAGAAGTAGGTTTCCTATTGTTGTTAGCGGCAATGCTGCAATATTTAACCATTGAAATGACGGTAAATTACTATCAACTACAAATTATAAATGAACAAAAATATATCATTCAAAATTTAATACATGTATATTAATAGTGAAACATTAACACACAATTATATTTGATTTAATTGATCATCGGACGAAAACGAAATTAGCAACTATCGTGAACCGGAAGTACAAATTAATGTATGCAATACGACAGAACATTAATTATACAAATATCATTTACGTTGATAATACACATCAATGCCTAGGCTGTTATTTGACTAGGCTGTTATTTGACTAACACCCGTCAGACTGGCACAAGTCAACTTTTTTAAAGAAATGTAATTTAATTTTAATTTAGTTATCTAACTGTTAAAAAACCAATTAAAGTCGTGAAACGGATTAAAGACACTTTTACGACGTGTTAATAATACATGATGACCGGCAATTAAAAATTACTATGAAACGTGTAAATCACGAGTGACAACATCTTACCTTGATGTCGCCGACCTTTGATCAGTCGGCTGTTATCACACTTCGACTAATTGAGATGAAAATATGTGGACTTTAATTGACGGGACCAAATTTTCTTTTCGACTAAACAGGAGTCTCGGTAAGTCAAAATTTGACCTAACTGGGAAGCGGAGTTAAAATACAAAGATAAAGAAGGAAATTTGACAGGACTTTAGAAATTATTCGACTAAGGCGGAATTTTGAGTAAAGCGATTTTGACTTGTTGAGAGTCAACTGTATATACATATAGTAAAAAAGTCAAAAAATCTTATTGTCTGAAGGTACACGGCTTAGAGCTTTAATATTTGTTAAATGATATCATCTATAGGTACTCTACCCAAGTTGTTAAATTTGGCCTCTAGTGTCAAAATTAGCCCCGCCCCGGGGGCCATAGGTTTTCCTTATATGTATATAGTAAAAACTTAAAAAATCATCTTAATTTACAAAGGCTAGAGTTAAGATATTTTGCATGAAACATTGTGTAGTGAACCTCTAGCAAGATTGTACAAATTATAGCCCTGGGGTCAATATTGACCCACCCCCAGGGGTCATTGATTTTCACTATGTACATTTAAATTACTACTATGACGTCATTCCTTTGTTCTTACCATACTGTTTTTTTAATACAGTACAGGTAGGTGTCCAATATTAATGTGTAAGTCCAATATAAATCGTGTAACACATTAATATCAGACAGCGTGTCGTGTAGTGAAAAAGCTTGTATGACCACAGGACTTTGTGGACAATTATAAAAAAAAAAAATAAATAAATTAAAGAGAAAGTAAAGATTATACGACAAAACAATAATTGTTATCTGGCGATGATTTCTTAATAGCTCATTTCACAAATTCTATCTTCAAGCCTACTGGTTTTCAATTTCCAAGCTCTTAAAATCATATCACTGTTTACGTTTCCCTAGAAAAAGTTGCAGAGCGTCAATTAAAATATGATTTTAATTTGATTGTTTAATTTCTTGCCTATTGTCCGTTTTTCTTTTTTTAAATACATTAAGTTGAAAATCATCCTTGATTTGCTTCATTGTATGTACGTAATGTTTCAGTTAGGTCAACTTTTCAGTCAGCTTTTCAAATAAATGTAATAGAGAAATTCAAAACAAAGGCGCTTATTTGACTACATATGTATTTGACTTATATATAGAAACTATTTCAGACTCTGTGGTGTGAAAAATATCAATTTAAAAATAAGAAAATATCATTTTGTTGCATAAATATCCAAAAATTTACAATAATGGTCATTTTTACTCAACATTTTACATCCGTGATAGTTGAAGTAAATTAAACAAATATCATTTTTACACTTAAAGCCCTTCCAAACAATCAAACCTTCTCAGCCAATCATTCAAAATATCCGAGATTTAACACAAATTTGAAAACTTTTTATTGTTCCTATTTCTTATAAAAATCACCAGTGTAAATTGATGTATACTGTATGCGTGTAGATCCACAATTTTGTGTAACTGGTATAATTTGTGTATATCATTGTGTCCATGTACATAATTGGTCATATTTAAAAACACGAAAATTTCATGCTCCGGACATTTTGTTATTCAAGAGGCTACCTATAGGGTTTTGCAAGTAAGAAAAAATAATTGCTAAAACATTGAGATTGAACATTTCTTGCACAAAAATACATAATTTCTAATTATTCGATAGATAATATGATATTTGACAGTAAAAGTAGTAATTTAAGTAAGATATAAGCCTCAAACTGACCAATAAGTAAAATATTGAATTCCCTTCGCCTCATGAAATTCAATATTTTACATATTGGACAGTTTTCGGCTTATATCTACTACATAGTAAAAAATTTAAAAACCTTGTCTGTAGGTACAAGGCTTAGAGCTTTGATATTTGGTATATAATATCATCTATGGGTCCTCTACTAAAGTTGTTTTAATTATGCCCCTAGTGTCAAAATTGCCCTGCCCCAAAAGCGATAGTTTTCCTTCAATGTATAAAGTAAAAACTTAAAAAATCTTCTTCTCTGAATTGACAAAGGCTAGAGGTTAAATATATGGCATGAGACTTTGCCAAGTGAACCTCTACCAAGATAGTTCAAATTATTGCCCTGGGGTCAAAATTTCCAAGTGAACCTCTACCAAGATAGTTCAAATTATAGCCCTGGGGTCAAAATTGGTTCCTTCTCGGGGGTCATGATTTTTATTATGTACATATAGTAAAAAAATAAAAAATATTTTTGTCTGAAGGTACAAGGCATAGATATTTGATGTTTGCTGTATAATATCATCTATAGGTCCTCTACCAAAGTTCAATTTTTTCCTTTGGTGTCAAAATTGGCCCTGCCCGGGGGAAGTGATTCTCATTATGTACACATAGTAAAAACAGAAAATAAAACAAATGTTGTCTGAATGGGAGAAAGCTACAGCTTAGATATTTGACTTGAAATGTTGTTTGGTGGACCTGTATCAAGATTGTTTTGATTTAAACCCATGGGTCAAAATTTTGCCTTGCCCAAGGGGACAGTGACCTACTTTCTTGTCCTTTGATGTACAGCAATGAAATTTTGACCATGTGCACAGTTTTAGTTGTAAAATTGAACTTTGATATCAGGTGACCTAGATTTTGATGATGTGACCTATTTTCTTGTCCTTTGATGTACAGCTATGAAATTTGAACCATGTGCACATATTAAGATGTAAAGTGAACTTTGATATCAGCTGACCTAGATTTTGACAAAGTGTCTTACTGTGTTGTCCTTTGATGTAGTCATGAAATTTAGGCTGTGTGAAATATGACCTTCACCACCAAATTCACTAGACTCAAGTGCATTGATATATTCCTACTCTGATCTTTTATTGGATTAACAATAGATTAAACCACTAATCTGATAATAAGATTTAGATAGGTCAGGGATCTGTGCATTATGACAATCTTCAATTGTATAGAAACAAAAAAAGATCTGTTCCTACACTACTATGTTGTGTTGTATTAATGTGGTGGCATAGCATTTTTCTCAAATGCAATTTTGTTTTTCAACACAACAACATCAAGAAGAAAAATAGATAATGGAAAAGATCACCAAACTTAATCATGGGTTCCTATCCCACAAAAGGGGATTTATATTTTGTCTTTCTATATCAGGGATGACATTTGGAACTGTTGCAAAGGGCCAAAGGCTGAGAGCAACAGTTCCAAATGTTCTCCCAGTTTACTGTTCCACAAACACCCATGGAATAACTGTTTTATTACCTTAAAAACTGTAATATATATTGCAGCAACACACTTATAACATTATGCATCTGTTTAAATTGTTGACAAGTGAATCCTACAGACCTTTGATTTTTTTAAAACCACAACCGTACATTGAGCTGAGCCATGTCTGATAACTGAATATCAGAAATACCTGAAGACAGGGTTGTAACAGTTAAAAAATGTTGACCGTTTAACAGTTTATTTCAGCATTGTGAATACACAGGATTTCAGCGGTTATATCAATTAAAACAGTTGTAAATAAGGAATTAGTATTTATAGAAGGCATATTAGGTAATAGGATGGAATGGTTACTGTTAGTTGTCTGGCTTGAAATGATAAACTTAGTTCATGCACCAAAATTTATTGTGAAGTAACGAAAAAAGTATTTTGTTTTTTATTTTATAGTGAAACATGCACCGTCACTCAGTGGACCATGTGTTATGTTATAGCTGCAAGTTTGTTTGAAGAATGCACTAAAGCAGACAGGAGTGAATTGTTCTGTTTAAGTGTTCAGACTCTTCTGCATTGTTTAGCAATGTTTGATAGATGCATGGGCAGTAAAAGTGTAACAGGGTCTTCAAAAGTTCAAAATCCTGAACAAGTAATGAATGTTGCAACATTAAAAGCCCTTACATGGATGGAAATGTGGCAGTATAATTGGGGATACTATATGGACAACATATTGATGGTACTTGAAATATTAATAATTATTTTCAAAGTTAAAACAACAAATAATATAATTAGAATCTAGATTTTCACACTTGCATGAAGTTATGCAAAGAGGGGCACCAGGGGCTTTTCTACACCAGTAGAAATGAAAAGTTGCCATTTGAATGTTTTGTGTCGAAAAACAATACCTACTAAAATATCTACTAATTGATGAAAAAGTAATCTCAGTAGATTCTAATGTAAAGTTTATACATTTATTCTGATATTTCATGCAAAATCTTTTGAAAGACGAAATATTTTAAAAAAATGAAAGGATATTTTCTTCAAATGTTCATTTGTTTGCAGGTTTGGAATTTATTGTTTTCTTCAAATGAACTGCAATCAGATAGAGTTAGAGATGAGTGGAATAAAGTCATATCTGAGAACTTGTCACAGACATTAAGAGATAAAGTGAGTTAAGGAAGGTTATATTGCTTTGCTAATAAGTTAGAGAAAAAGATATTGAAAATTCATTATATTTAATAGACTTGAAGCATTAAATGTTGATTTAAGGCTTTTAGTATATCATGGTAAGTGGCCTTCATCAGTCAGTGTTCAAAAACTTGTTACAAAAAAAAGATTTTATCAGGAAAAAATATATTGTATCTCTATACAAATAAAGGGTAGGTACACAGATATAGGTTTGAATATATTTACTGCGAGAGGATATAAAAAATGTAGTTACATTATGTTTATTGTCTATTGCCTTTTGGAAGAAAAAGGGGGATAATAGAAATGGGCTCTGTCAGTCCGTCTGTCCATCTTTCTGTCCATCACACTTTTGTGTAGGGTCCATAACTAAGCCATTCCTCAAAGGAATTTGAAATAACTACACCAAGACTCCTACCTTCAAGGTCTTGTAGGGTGTATGTCATGTCCGGTTCATAACTTTCTCATCAATCAAGAGATTTGAAAATTCTTGGCTCATATATTCACAATAATTAGGCATTGTATTATGCGCAACAACTGTATCCCTACTTCCAAGGTCAAAATCACACATGGAGGTCAAAGCTAAACATGGCTTGTTATAGAGTATTATTTTGTGTCCGGTCTATAACTTTTTCATAGATCAAAGGATTTTGAAATTACTTAGCACAAATGTTCACAATCATAAGGCAATATGTAATGCACCGCACCCAGACCTCTACCTCTAGGTCATTGTCACCCTTTGAGGTCAAATGTTATAGGGTATATTTATACCCCCAAAAACGAAGTTTGGGGGGGTATATAGGAGTCACCCGGTGGTCGGTTGGTCGGTCAGTTGGTCGGTCGGGCGGTCGGTCGGTCGGTCCATACGTCCGTTGCATTTTCCTTGTCCGGAGCATAACTTGAAAACTAATGGTTGGAATTCAATATAACTACATACAATGGTCAAGCACATTGAGAGGAAGTGCAGTGCACAAGAACCATAACTCTATCTTGACTAATTACAGAGTTATTGCCCTTTGTTACTTTTCCTTGTCCGGGGCATAACTTGAAAACTACTGGTTGGAATTCAAAACAACTTCATACAATTGTCAAACACAATAAGGGGAAGTGCAGTGCACAAGAACCATAACTCTATCTCAAGTAATTACAGAGTTATTGCCCTTTGTTGCTTTTCCATTGCTTTTTTTTTCTCCGTTGCATTTTCCTTGTCCGGAGCATAACTTGAAGACTAATGGTTGGAATTCAATATAACTACATACAATGGTCAAGCACATTGAGAGGAAGTGCTGTGCGTAAGAAACATAACTCTATCTTGACTAATTACAGAGTTATTGCCCTTTGTTACTTTTCCTTGTCCGTGGCATAACTTGAAAACTACTGGTTGGAATTCAAAACAACTTCATACAATTGTCAAACACAATAAGGGGAAGTGCAGTGCACAAGAACCATAACTCTATCTAAAGTAATTACAGAGTTATTGCCCTTTGTTGCTTTTCAATTGCCTTCTTTGTTTGTCCGGAGCATAACTTGAAGACTAATGGTTGGAATTCAATATAACTACATACAATGGCCAAGCACATTGAGAGGAAGTGCAGTGCATAAGAACCATAACTCTATCTAAAGTAATTACAGAGTTATTGCCCTTTATTAGTCCCCTACCGGTTTACCGGAGGGGACTTTAGGTTTACCCTCCGTCCGTCTGTCCGTCTGTCCGTCCGTCCGTCTGTCTGTCAGTCCATCAGTCCGTCCGTCCACAAAACTGGATCCCGCGATAACTTGAAAAGTACTGAAAACATTTTTATGAAACTTGATATATGGATAGATGGCAGTATGGAGATTATGCACGTCTTTTTCTTTTCTTCCTATGTTGAAAATTCTGGTTGCTATGGCAACAAATAGGCTGAAAATATGACAAATTTTACACATAAACTGGACCCAGTGATAACACCAAAAGTACTGGAAATATTTTTATGAAACTTGATATATGGATAGATGGCAGTATGGAGATTATGCACGTCTTTTTCTTTTCTTCCTATGTTGAAAATTCTGGTTGCTATGGCAACAAATAGATTGAAAATATGGCAATTTTTACACAAAAACTGGATCCAGTGTTAACGCAAAAAGTAATAGAAATATTTTTATGAAACTTGTAATATGTGTAGATGGCAGTCTGGAGATTATACAAGTCTTTTTCTTTTCTTCCTATGTTGAAAATTCTGGTTGCTATGGCAACACATAGACTGAAAATATGGCAAATTTTACACATAAACTGAATCCAGTGATAACTCAAAAAGTACTGGAAATATTTTTATGAAACTTGACATATGGGTAGATGGCAGTCTTGAAATTATGCATGAATTATCTGTTCTTCCTATTTTGAAAAAATATTGGTTGCCTTGGCAACAAATAGGCTTAAAACATGGCAAATATAACAATATTTGTGATTAGTCAAAAAGAGCTGAAACTTTTTATGAAATTGCATCTTTAATTCCAGAGTTATCTCCTCTGTAAGAATTTTGCTTTTTAAAATGTTATATTTTGGTAACAGGGATGTTTCAAATATTAACTTTAGAGTGTCCTTCAGTCCGACTGTCTGTCTGTTCATAAAAACTTTTTCCTGTGATCACTTTTAAAGAACATTTCCAACAAATTTACTTAAAATAGAGAAAAATTTACACATTAGTGAATGGCCAATGGCCCTTCAGTATGCTGATGGGGTTCTATCCGGTAGGGGACTTATGGATTGCTTGCAATACTATGATAATTGCTTGTTACTTTTCCATTGCTTTCTTTTGTCCGGACCATAACTTGAAGACTAATTGTTGGTATTCATTATAACTTCATACAATGGTCCAGCACATTGAGAGGAAGTGCAGTGCACAAGAACCATAACTCCATTTTGACTTATTACAGAGTTACTGCCCTTTGTTTCTTTTCCTTGTCCAGAGCATGACTTTAAACATACTGGTTGGAATTCAAAACAACTTCATACAATGGTCAAGCACAATAAGGGGAAGTGCAGTGCACAAGAACCATAACTTCATCTTGTCTAATTACAGAGTTATTGCCCTTTGTTACTTTTCCATTGCTTTCTTTTGTCCGGAACATAACTTGAAGACTTATTGTTGGAATTCATTATAACTTCATACAATGGTCAAGCACATTGAGAGGAAGTGCAGTGCATAAGAACCATAACTCCATCTTGACTAATTACAGAGTTACTGCCCTTTGTTACTTTTCCTTGTCCAGATCATGACTTGAAAACTACTGGTTGGAATTCAAAACAACTTCATACAATGGTCTAGCACAATAAGGGGAAGTGCAGTGCACAAGAACCATAACTCCATCTTGAGTAATTACAGAGTTATTGCCCTTTGTTACTTTTCCTTGTCCAGAGCATAACTTGAAAACTACTGTTTGGAATTCAGTACAACTTCATACAGTTGTCAAGAACATTCAAAGGAAGTGCAGTGCACAAGAGCCATAACTCCATTTTGACAAAATACAGAGTTACTGCCCATTGATACTTTTCCTTGTCCGGAGCATAACTTAAAACGTACTGGTTGGAATTCAAAACAACTTCATACAATGGTCAAGCACAATAAGAGGAAGTGCAGTAAAAGAACTATAACTCTATCTTCAGTATTTATAGAGTTATTGACCTTTGTTCTTTTTCTTTGTCTTTCTGGACTTATTACAGAGTAATTCAATTAAACTTCATCAATGGCCAACCACATTGAAAGGAAATGCAACATACATGAACCACAATTATCTTTAATTGCCCACAACCATAACTCTATGTTTCAATTCTTTTACAAGGTATTCTGTTACTAGTAACATCCTCATTTACGAAGCAGACTTGTGGGGGTATTAATCACATTTAGTGATAGTTCTAGTTTAGGTCAGGTCCATAGCCTTGTCATAGATCAAGGGATTTTGAAATAAAATGACACAAATGTTGACAATAATAAGATAATGTGTCAGGGGCAACACTGGAACCATACCTGAAGGTCAAGGTCACCTTTTGAGGTCAAATTTTAACATGATCTGCTATAGGGTATATTTTTTATTCGATCAATAATTTTTTCATTGTTCAAGGGACTTTGAAAAAAAAAATTGTAACAAATGTTCAAATTAAGAGGTGACGTGTCAACATCCATACACCTATGTGCAAGGTCAATATAACATTTTGATGTTAAAGTAGGTTTTGTAGGGTACATAACCTTGTCATAAATCAAGGGATTTTGAAATAACTCCCACAAATGTTCACAAAAATAAGATGATGTGTCATGCACATCACCCAAACCCCTACCTACAAGGTCAAGGTAACAATAGGAAGTCATAGGGTTTATAGAGTGTCCGGTTCATAGATTTTTATCAATCAAGGGATTTTGAAATAACTTTGTAAAAATGTTCACAATAATAAGACAATGTGAAATGCGCAACACTCCAGGCCTACCTCACTCTTGGAGGTCTAAGCCAGACATTGCCTGTTACAAGGTGTCATGATTGCTCTTTTGTGAATGACAGGCTTATGCACCATGAAGCTAATGTGATAAAAGTTTGTGTACTTGGACTAGATGAGAAATTCCAACATTTGCCGTGTTCCAGATAACAACTATTAATTTTTGTGCCCCTTCTATGGGGGCATTTAGATTTGCCCTTGTCCGTCGGTTCTCCTGTTGTGTTAATCAGCATTTAAAGTTGAGCACCTGGGGTTTCGCCTGTGGATTAATGCAGTTTTGTTTATAAAAGTTATTGCCCTTGACTTAGTAAAAAATAAGCAATTTTCAATTTGTGTCATGCATAGCTAAAAAAGCATTTGATCTTTAGGCATAAAACTTTATAGAAGTGTTGGTCACCATCTTAAGTTGTGCACCTTGGGTTTGACTTGTGCATTTATTCAGAGTTATTACCCTTGACTTAGTAAAAATAGTCAATTTACGATTTATTATGTGCAATAAGCTCAAAAAGTATTTGACCTTTAGTCATGAAACTTCACAGGAATGTTGGTTAGCATGTGCAGTTGTGCATCTGGGGGTTTGCTTGCAGATATATTAAGCATATGTAAAGTTATTGCCCTTGACTTAAATTTTTTTGCAATTTTCAATTTTTGTTGCACATAGCTCAAAAAATATTTGACCTAGAGTTACAAAACTTAACATTAATGTTGGTCAGCATCTTAATTTGTGCACCTGGGGTTTTGAATATGGATTTAAATAGTTTTTATAGAGTTATTGCCCTTGAATTTGTAAAAATTTGCAATTTTCAAATTGTGTCCATGTAGTCCAAAAACAAATGTTTGACTTAGAGTCATGAACATTTACAGAAAGAAATAATTTTCAGCATGTGTAGTTGTGCAGCTGGGAATTTCCTTGTGGATAAATAAAACGGTTTGCTTGCTTAAAGGCTGATGCCAAAATATTTATTACATATTTGTAAATGCAGCTTTAACAGCTATGAGAGGTAATCATATATTTGTTATAGGTGTGTGCAGACAGCTCCCTCACAAGATATTTTGTTGAACTTTACTGTAGAAAGGTGGACAACTTCAACCTGAAAATGCAAGACTGCATGAGCAAAGCTGCTTTCCAGGTGAAATGTTTTGTCTGAAATATGGTTAAGTCACTGGGTATCGATAATCAGTCATATTAATACTTAATATTGGTAATATCAATATACTTTCAAATATATAACAATTATGTAATATAAGCTATTCCTTGGAATATATGTCAGAGAATTAATTTTGTTATCAAGTTAGTAACCTTAGCACGTCAGCCTCAAAGTTGATTTCTACTTAATTTATATAAGTCATGCCAATTGGGTAAAAAATGGTCTTGCCCGAGGGGTCACTTAGTTTTAAATACATCAACTTGTTTTGTAAAATATTGATGGCATAGGTCAGTAATATGCCTAAAAAGACACATGTATGCACAATTTAAACAAAGTTTACCATACGGTTTACAAGTTATGGACATTTTTTTATTTAAAGCTTTGCTATTTGAAGGGCTCATTTTCAGGAATAAGGTAACACTAAATAAACATTAATATCATCATTATGAAAAATGTTTTCCTATTGATCTTTGATACGAAACAAGTAATAGCATTCAGCTAACAAATCACGCAAGCAAAATGATTGTTTCTACTAAAAATGTTTGAAATATGTACAAAAATGTAACCCTATCCTCCCATTTTAAACAATTGTTTGACCGTTTTGCTACTTAGAGAGCCTTATCCAAAATATCCATTAGATTTACAAAAGTGAAGGACTGTTTTCAAAGCTTGCCTAAATTTTCTTAAAAGTATATTTGTTAATCTTGTCAAATATAAAATATTTTTACTCTGAAGTTTTGAGTATATTAGATTTTGAAAATAAGAAAAGAAACAAAAAGATGACTCCTTTGGGGTTTGAACCCACACCCCTCAGTTTCAATGCAGTTGACATTAATTCTGGCCTATCTAAATACTCTTCAAAGAGGAGGTAGTGCATAAAAATACTATAAAATTTTTTTCTCTGAAAAAAAAAAATTCCTAGAGCTTAGAAGTTTTGCATGTAGCATCACTTTGTAGTCTTCTACAAAAGAAAATTGTGTTCATTATGACCATGGGTTGAAAGATGAGCCAAGCCTTGGGGTCATTTAGTTTACAAATGCTATATAGGAAAATATATTTAAGTTTTCTTTTAGGAAACTGCAATGACCAGAGCTTAAATATTAAGCATTTAGCATTGCCAAGTTGACATCTACCAAAGTTGTATAAAGCATGGTCCTGGGTTAAAAATTGGTTCCACCTGAGGGTCATTTAATTTGTAAAGATTTGTTTGTAAAAATATCTTAATAAAAATATCTTGAAAGACTTCTCCTTAGCAACTACAATGCCTTGAAAGGTATATTTTACAATAGAATATTCATACAATTCATAACTACAATGTATAACAAAATTTGAATTAACCACATTTCACTATTACAGCATGAAAGTAAATATATGCACAGAAATATATGAAAAGTGTTTGTATTACAAAATAGATGTTAATGCTTTGAAAGTTATGGAAGAAGTAGACATTTATCAAGAAAATATGTTAGCCCCTAGAACCAACTCTATAAATAACTTTCATTCCAATCACTTATCCCTCATAAAATTTACTACTAGTTCAATCAACAATACATAAAAGAAAAAAAACAATGATATACAAAGCAAGAGAATATAATTGGTTTGGCCTTACATCCTAAGTAAAAGCTTTAAAATTCAGAGTTTTACTATCTTATTTATGTATGCTACAAGCTATGTAGGAAACATTATGGTATTGTATTAATTGTCCTACAACATCAGGTTCATCAATGCCCAGACATATCAAAATAGCATAACATTCGAATGACATGAATATAAACTAGAAATGCCAAACTGGTTTAAGAAGTTGCATAAACTGCCTCAATACTCTATGCCCTTCACAAGTACAATCTTATGTAAGGAAAAAGATAGTAATGAATCAAATGAATTTATATTTAGGCAATTTCAAAGGGATATTCTGTAAACTACTATGGTTTCTCAGAAGATGAAAACATGCGTTATGGCAGGCTTTTATCTGACATGTTCATGACAGAGTGGAAGAGACATACCAAGACAAAGACAACAGAAGTGGAAAAAGGGACAATTATTCTCCAATATGTGCTGAGTTGGACACCATTTCGACACTATCTGAATATCTATTGTAAGTAGTTATTATCCCTTCATATAAAATTGGCTTTGCATTTACCAGTTCATCAGTCAGTAAACCAGACCTAATCTGACCAATAAGTAGACAGCACTAATATTATGTGTTGCAGTTCACCATGACTAGAATATGATAGCCTATTGATTTTAATCTTTGACCAGCTGACTTTACAGTTCAGTCACCATGACTTTGACCACAAAATGCTTGTCTGATCAATATCTGGATAATGCTTTAAGACCTCAAGGTCAGTAGATAAATGGTCAAAGTTACATTGAACACAAATCAGAACACTTTGGCCTTTAGTCCATAGATTTGATAGGAAGGTGGTGGTGACTAGTAGATAATCCTTATTGATCTTGATGTCAGATTGTCAGAGGTCAAGGTCATAACAGGTGACCCTTTTTACAAATAATCTTTACGCCAAATTTCTATCATAAGAGAAATCATGTATCTTTTATCTTAGAGAAAAATTAACTTAAAGGAAAGTAAGGCCATAAATACAATGTACTTGCAAACATCATGTAAAAAATAAAACAAAATAAATTGTGACATCATGATTTGTTGAAATCATGAATGTCGTTAGACAGCAAAACTTAAAACTACTAATAAATTTGTTTCCTTTGCATGTTAAATTGAATTTTTTTAGCTGTCAAATTTTGCTTGTGGTTTCTCTGCTCTTGAAATTAGAATATGGCATGTTGTTTGGCACTTTGAAAAGGGATGATGGCTTCAATTTATGAACTAGATTGACATGCAAAACAAACCAAACTAATATCCTCTGTTGAATCATTTTGACCAGACTGTTATAGATAGCTTGTATCAGATATGATAGGTAGCTTATCTCATAGCCATGTGATCTTAGGTGGTCTATAATTTTGGAAAAATAATGTTTTGTAGCACAATTTGTGGTCAGTGTGACTTAAATGCCCATTGCTTAGATATGTGACCTGTAGCATCACCTTGTGGTCTTCTACAAAAGTGATATAAATCCTGTCCCTGGGTCAAAAGTGGCCCTGCCCTAGGGGTCTCTCAGTTTATATAGGCTTAAATATGGGAATACATTTAAGTCTTTAAGAAGAGCTTAGATATTTGACATGTAGCATTTCCAAGTTGACCTTTACAAAATGATTTAAATCTAGCCCCAGGGGTCAAAATTTGTTAGGCTCCAGGGTTCACTTAAGTTATATAGACTTGTATAGTAAAAGTATAAAAGACTTATCCTGAAAAGCTACAATGCCTTAAGCTTTGATATGCCCCATGGGTAGAAAAATTGGCCCATCCAGGGGGATCACTTAGTTTATAAGCATATAGGAAATTACAGTTTAAGTCTTCTTTTGTGAAAATGCATTGCCAAGACTTAATTGACACAAATTTATTGTAGATAGGCATGATTATGCCCCCTAATTAAGCCAAGAAAACATTTAAGTTAAGCCAAAAAAAAACATTTTTTATACTTGTGTTGGGTTTAACTCAAAATGCCTAAAAAAGGACAATGGATAACTGGCGCCAGTAATATACAGGATTTTTGGCGGCAAAACATTTCTAGTAATTTACTATGTTTTCTACCTATATGTTACAGATAATGATGAGAAAAATTTCAAAATATTGAAGAAAGAGTGTGTAGACATTTTGGAAAAAGCAGTGGCAGTTATTGACGACAGGGTTTGTAAGCTGAATGATGGCTCAATCACCATTTTAGACTTGGAATTGTTGGCGTCAAGAGAGCAGACATTCTCAGAGCTGGCAGAAGTTGTTTGCCCAGAAATAGAGTTTGCATCTGTAAGTAAAGGGATAAAGTTGAGACAGAGAGAAGTAAAAGCTTTCAAGATTCAAGCTGAAGAAATGTCAACATTAGCAAGTCTGTGTCAACATCTAACAAATGGTAAAAAAATCTACTATTTGTTGTGTTTTTATACAACTTCTGAGAAATATTTTGTCACAAGATTGTCATCCAAAGAAAATAAGTAATTATGATGAGTAATTTAATGCATAATGTTTTATTTATACTAATATATTTAACTAACAATAATTGTTTCTGTTCTTGTCACAAGACCTAACTTCATGTAAGGTACTTTGCAAAAGGTAAAAGTTTAAGCATTTCAGGATATTTTAACTAACAATTTTTCTCTCTGAGCTATCATTAGTGTTATCATAAGGTGACAAACAAAATATTATGCTTTAAAATATTTGTTGTTGTAGTAGTAACTATCTAAATTTGTTGTTTTGGAAACAAAATTTGGCAAAAAATATCACATTTTTATTGTTTTTGTTTTTTTTGTATATAATTTATGACTATTTTTTCCCTGCTGACTTGTTTTAATGAACTCTCTCTTTCTTGTAAAGTGGACATAAGATGTGTTGCTGACATATTGCAAAAGCAAAAGGATATAACTAGACATTCTGTGAGGGAATTCTGTGTACCAGCTGCTGAAAAAAGCATTGAGGAAATTGACCAATATGTACCAAAATTATGTGCATTTGATTTGCCACAGACTGTGTTAGATATGGTGCCACCGCTTCATGTTTACAACAAAAGTAGAACATTTATAAATTTATGGCAAGGCAAGTGTGTTGAAGTTGAAGCTGGGTGTGTTTCTTTGGAACATGTTGTACAAAAAGTGTGGACTCCTGTTAAAGAGAGGTATATTTTACATTCTATGATTTGATTTTATTAGCTTGACGTTTTGAAGATAAAGAGTGGAGCTCAATATTTGTTGGCATCAGTGTTGGTTAATCTTTTGTTAAGGTTCATTTACTCAGTTACTGTCAAAGTAATTCACTTCAACATGTTCACCATCAAAATATGAGACTTTTTCCAAAAGGGCTTTTATCCAGCACTTAGAAAAGTGGAGCACTGATAGCAAATAGGTTTTGTTTTTGTATGCAACAGTTTCTGCTTATTGATTAATTATTGAACACTTTTGTTTGAGAAAAAAAAATAGAAACCTTTACAGAATATAAAGTTTATTAAATTTTGAAAAGGTTTTATTAAAGAATGTGTTTTTCTAAAACATTATTAAGTGAAAGAAAGTTTGATATATGAGAAAACTAAACTGCCTAAAACATAGAAACATCTATATTTGTTTCAATGAAAACAGCTTGGATGAAATGTCAGTGAGAATCCAGAGTGGTGAAATCCAGTTTAGGGAGTTTGAGAAACGACTTGGAGAGATGTATGGAGAAGATTATGGGAAGATGGAGGCAGAGCTAAAACATATGAATGTCAAAGACATAAAACTCCGGCTGGATCAGTTGAAGAAATACAGACAGTTGAGTACATGTGTGGAAGGAGCCAAAACTATCCTTGAATTTGCGCAGGAATACAATTTGAATGGAGATTTTGATCAGATGGAAGTGATTGCCACAGTAAGTGTAATGTATATTAATTTAGGTACTTGTAACATTTTGACATTAGAGCTGGAACATAGCAACCATTGATTTCCATAGCAAACAATGACTTCCTCAAAGTAATTAGTGACCAACTTATAGTAATTTCACCAATGACTTTTCACAGCAGCCACTTTAAACTTACCATAGCAAACTGTAAATTTCCATAGTAACCAGTGACTTCCAAAAATCAGTCATTAAATTATATTTAGTAGCTATTGTTATTCTGTAACAATAGCAAACAGTTAAGATACAATTATGAACTTTGTGATTAAGATTTAGATATGATATCTTCTGTTCATTTATAAATTACTATAGTCACCAATGCCTCTTGTCATTGAGAGCTTTTATAATTTGGTGAGCAATATTAGGGCCATTATGGGCCTCTTGTAAGGTGAATGTATGTTCAAGTAACTTAATATGTCTCCCAAAAATTTTGTAAACAAATTGTTTTTGCCTTCGCCATCTGCCTTTCCATCTGTTGCATTAAGCTCATCAGGCTTTCACAGGTCACACTGCTGAGAGGAGTGATGACAGTACCATTCCTAGTTGTGCATATCGCCGGCAAATAATAAAAGTTATGAATTTGAAACAGCTTTATCAATGTCTTTGTATGAAGTTTGATAATAAACTGAAATGGAAGAAGTTGGAGTTCTAAATTTTAATTTTTGTAATATAATTTAAGCCTTTTTAGAATACATGTATATCAAATTTGTAAATGTATCTTTTATCTTGCTTATATCTAAACAATCTTTATTATAAACAAACCTCAATAAATTGATACACATTGTTTAACCTACATGTGTGTTTTTAATCTGATGGCATTAAACTTTTTTCAGCAAAAGGATAAGGACTTAGAAATGAGGTCATTTGATGACAGTGTGATGAAAGTGTGTGGCTTTTTGTCTGATATGACACCAGCTCGAGGGGCATGTCTGAAAACCTTTGTTACCTGTGAACCACTTGTTAAATGGCTGAAAACATCAATGGAAAAAGGTATAAAACTGACAGATTAGTAAACTAGAAAAGTAATGTTTTGTATGTTTTGTTTTAGACACATTAAAATGACCAATTGGAAAAAGAAATACTGACAGAAAGTTAAAGAGCAATCTATTATAAGTGACCGTCCTTTTATTGTGTCGCCTCTACGGAGTAGTGGTGACATATAGGGATCACTTCTCCGTCGTCTGTCTGTCTGACCGTCTGTCTGTCTGTCTGTCCGTCCGTCACAAAACTTGTCCGGACTACTCCTCATAAACTACTGGTGCAATTTCATCCAAACTTTACAGAACTGATCAGTACCAAGTCTAGTTGTGCATATTGTCAGCATTTTCTGGTTCAAGATTTTTGTCAGAGTTATGGCCCTTTAATAAATTTTATTTTTAAATATTGTCCGGACTACTCCTCTTATACCACTGATGCAATTTCAATGAAACTTTTGCATGGGTTTTCCGGTTGAATGATTTTTGGCCGAGTTATGGCCTTTTGATAAAAAAGTGTTTTTTTCAGTGTGTTGCCAGATACACAAAAGCTTGTCCGGACTACTCCTCATAAACTACTGGTGCAATTTCATCCAAACTTTACAGGAATGATTAGTACCAAGTCTTGTATGCATATTGTCAGTATTTTCCGGTTCAATGATTTTTGTCAGAGTTATGGCCCTTTAATAATTTTTATTTTTAAAGTTTGTCCAGACTACTTCTCTTATACCACTAATGCAATTTCAATGAAACTTTACAAGATTGAGCTGTAGCTCAAGTCCTTGCGCATATTGCACGGGTTTTCCGGTTGAATGATTTTTGGCCGAGTTATGGCCCTTTGATAAAAAGCTGTTTTTTTCTGTGTGTTGCCAGATATACAAAAGCTTGTCCGGACTACTCCTCATAAACTACTGGTGCACTTTTTATCCAAACTTTACAGGAATGATCAGTACCAAGTCTAGTTGTGCACTGTTTGTCTGTCTGTCCGTCTGTCACAAAACTCAATGTCCCAACATGAAATTGGCCATCATGAGGCGACACATGTGATCACTGATCGTTCTTGTTGGAATTTACAAACATGGCCTGTTTTCATATATGCTCTTTGTTTAGATTACATAATATTTCAATCACAGACTGTCCATTGTATTTTATAAACTTTGCCTATGAAGGTTTTATTCTTCTCCAAGCAGATCACAGAAAATGATGTTGTAAGGCACCATTGAAAAGGGTCTAATGTGACCTTGTGTCGAAATACTAATAGGTACAAGGTTTGATTCTAAGACTAGTACTTTGAGATCTGTATTAACATGTAGATTTAAAATTAATGTTCAATGTAAAACTTATGTATCCCTTAAATTGTTGTTTTGTTTATTTGATTACCCTGCACATTTTAGAGGGATTAAAGGAATTGAAGGTGTTTGTTGACTTGGCCATTATGTCAGCTGGTGAAGAGGGATTGAACATTCCCAGAGTTCAGTGTCTGCACTCTGCAGTAACAGGATATGCCCCTCTTATATTTGACCTTCAACCCACTTCGGGTTATGAACATCTACTAAAACTCTGTTCTTTTGTGTGGAAAGAGCTTGATGCAAATCCAAATTTGCCAGCACAACTGGTAAGATGTTGAAAAAATTGCACTAGATTTATTGTTTAAATTCATCTGATTCAGATGCCAGTAAAAATACTATGCATTGTTTTAATGAATTAAGATAAGTTTTGTTTGAAAGATTCAGATAACAGGGTCAAAAAACCCTTTTTTGTAGAGGCCGAATATAGGCTGCTTCCCCAACCAAACTAGCCTCTTTTTTCCCCCAGTTTGGTCCTCAAAATTCGCCAGTCTTTTATAATTTCCCATAGAATTTAGAACAAAATTAAATGATGGTGTTGAATTAAGGTCATTCACTACCTTATTAGTATTTCCCAGTGCTTTTTGCTTTGTGTTAAATTTGAGACCCCTTTTCCCAAAGTATGCTAAAATCGTGCATATTTTCCCCAAGAAAAAGGCTGAGGCCCCTTCCCCTAAAATGGTGTTTTGGCCCTGGATAATGTATTATTTTACCCCTTACACAAAGTTTTAGGGGGTAGCAGTGAGCATGTTGGTCCATCATTCAGTCCATTTTATGGTTTTCATATAATAAATAAAAGTTAGGAATAAATACAGTCGACTCTCGTTATCTCGAAGTCATCGGGACCATCCAAAAAATATCGAGATAACGAAATGTCGAGATAAACAAATAAGGGTTTGAATAAGGCAGAAACTGATTTCACAAAAGACATGTGCATACCTTATGTCAAATAAACTATGATTTCCCATTGTCTTGTTTTCATAGGCCTAGCCAATATTTAACAAAGTAACAATAGCGGATGTTTACCAGCGGAAATACTTGTGTCTGTGATAAACACATATAGTGAGGTTTACTCAGTAATACATCGATATGGTGAAAACATTGTTTTCAGGGTGGTTATTTTGTTATATATCGGGTCTTTCTCGAGATTGTTCGACTGCTTATTGATTTGGTGGTGATGTTGTGAAACAATATTGCAACGATTGTGTTTCTATACTTACTATTTCATTTACATTTAAAGTCATATTGAATTAATACAGTGTTCGAATATTTATAAAGAACGTAAAATTCACTCATTTTGGACATAAGTCAATCAACTCGCTAAATAGATTAACTTTTATAAAAACAGCTTAACTTGTTACAAACATAATCATCATTATGACACGCGCAATTGAGCAATTATCGTCTAGTTCGTGTTTTTCACACGTCTGAAGGGAACAGATGAAAGAAAACTATTAGTCGAGATAAACAAAGGATAATAGTGTGAAAATAACTGTTGGGGCTGAAATATTACATCGAGATACTGAAAATATGGAAATAAAAATATCGAGATAAACAAATATTTCCAATATAGATAAAGAAGGAAGAAAATCGGGACTTTCAAAATTTCATCGAGATAACGAAATATCGAGAAAAGCGATGTCGAGATAACGATAGTTGACTGTATTGTAATCAAATTTTGTAAAAAGCAAACTTGTATAGATATCTTACTTGGGAATGCTTTTGTACCCCTAGGGTTAAGGTCACTGTTACTAAAAATAAAAGATTGGGTTTCTGATGATAACTAAATGGAGGAATGAGATATTGTAAGTTAATAAAGTATATAGTAAACTTATGTGGAGCCCCGGTTTGAGTTTTCTTACAGGTCAAGGTCACTCAAGGAGGTCAAAGGTCAGGTAAAAAATTAAATATATATGCGTGTGTATAATTTAGTAGTTCTAATTTATATCAAAAATGTTTACAATCATGATACTGAGTCTTACAAACATAATTTAGATTAAAACACAAGATAATATATTGTCCAGATTTTGTCAAGAGTACTTTGTTTCTACATGCATTGACAAATTATAGTATTGCTTAGTATTTAATTTTAAATATTTGTCACTATGAGATGTAGTGTCACACCTAAAAGGGGTGTAGTTTCGCACCTAAAAGTGGTCTCTTGGTCAAAGTTAAAGATCACTCTTTGAGGTCAGAGAAATTGCTTGTTTTGAGCAAAAGTTCTAGATGCATTTATTTCTTTTAGGGATTTTTATTAAGTTATAATTATTTACATTTATTAATCACAATCATGAGACTATGTTTTTTCAACCAACATAATCCAGGGCAAGATAGTCAAAGTTGCCAGAGATGATTAAATGTCAATATTTTGTCCAGAGCATATCTTTCAATTGCTTGGATCTTGGTGTTACTTGACAAATATTCACCATCATGAGACATAGGTCAAGGTCACTGGAAATCACTTGTCCAAAGTCAAACTTCTACATACCTCAATGCATTGTAATATTACTTGGCACAAATGTTTGACATTGTTATGCATAGTGATATGCAAGAAATTTATGTCTAAAAGTTACATGATATAGAAGACCACGGTTAAATTAAAAATAAAAATGTGAATATTGACCATTTAGTCATCATTTAGTCATCATGAATTGATGGATTCTTTATGTTAGTGTGATTGAGCATTTGTGACAGGTGTATTTTGTGACAAATGCATTGTTGTTACTTTTTCATATGATTTATTATTTTTAGTGAAATAAATTCATAACATCAGCATATTCACTTTTAGGAAAAGTATTCCCCTATTGTTGTCAATTATAACATTTTATTACTAAGTCATATACAAGCAGATCTTGTCAATAACGTCAATAACTTGTAAAGCTGAATATAATCTATGCTATGCTACATGTATATTTATTCATTGTAGGAAGATACGAACCATAATCTAGAATGGTTTAAAGAAATCAAGAAAGCTCATGGTTCCGTAGAGGTTACCTCCCTTATGCAGGTTGAAGCTATCAATGCAAAAGGAGTATTTACAGTTGGTAAAAATGTTTGGAATAATGAGTCTTCTCATGGAACATTATTGGTATGTTGCTATTTAGATAATAGATATTTTGAACTTAAAGCTGCATGCCTCCAGATACGCCAGAATATTTCAAAAAATCAAACTATAGAAAAAGTACTGAGATTTTAAGAAAAGTAAAGAGATTCAAGATAAAAATAATAATTTCCATGTAACGTGTGATTTATGTCTGATGTTGCAGTATTTTTTGCCCTATTTTTACTGATTACTAACGCATTGAGGGCTATTTATGCATATTTTTACCGCTTTTTGGTAATTTACATTACTTTTATGTGCTGCTTGCAATGTGAAAATTAGTTCTTTGTTCACTTCACAATATTTAACTTTTTAATACATTTTTCAAAATTTTCAAGAAAATTAGTATGAATCTGGAGGTGTGCTGCTTTAATACTATAACTGTGCAACAATATACAGATATAACAGTATTTTGCTATGAACCTATAGTGCATGGGGGAAAAGTGTTGAAGATATTATGGGTTGTTGTCAGAAGTTTTATGTTTAGTATTGTATGAAAAAATGTTCGTTAACACTCTTGCGGTCACATTTTTGCCTCAATCGTCAAACTTTGTCAGGATGCTTATTTAGTTAATAGCTTGGATAAGTTTGAACATGGGTAAATATCTCGGATGAAAAACTAAATCACAGGAGCTAAAAACAGAACAACTTTGTCTACACTCTAGTGGTCACATTTTTGCCTCAATCATCATCAAACTTGGTCATGTTGTTTATCTTGGTAGTAGCTCAGATGTGTTTAAACATGGGTCATCTGGGATGAAAAACTAGGTCACAGGAGCTTAAAATAGAAAAACCTTGTTAACACCCTAATGATCACATTTTTAGCTCGACTTTTTGGCCTTATATATTTAAGTTATTTTTATCTTGTAACGTCATCACTTTTATTACCATAGCGGTGAGCTATTTATAGCTTCTTTTACCGCAGTTGGCTGACTCAGACACTATTAATTTTCTTATTACAAATATCTAATGGCAAACACATTTATTATTTTATAAGACCATTCCCGCCCAAAAATGAATATATATGAAAGAAAGAAAAAAATGAATATATTTATATATACAAAATATATTGACAAAACTAATGTGACCTAAGACAGACCGATTAAATTTATAAAAAAGGAAACGTTAAGATTTGTTCAAACATTTCTTTGTTTGCTTTTAGAAAAAGTAAAAAGTCAAGCGTTGCCCCCCCCCCCCCCGGCGGTGGCTCTTGTTGACTTGATTATCATCAAACTTGGTCTGGATGCTTGTCTAGGTAAATGCTCTGATGAGTTTAAACATGGATCATATCGGATGAAAAACTAGGTCACAGGAGCTAAGAATAGAAAAATCTTGTTAACACTCTAGTGGCTACTGTTTTGATCCAAATATCCTGGAAAATTGGTCTGAAAGTTTGTTTTGATGATTTCTAGGTCAAGTTCAAATATGGGTCACCTGAAGTCAAAAACTAGGTCACACCGCCCAAATATGGAAAAACCTTGTTAACCTCTTAGTGGTCACATTTTCGACTCAATTATCATCCAACTTTGTCAGGATGCTTGTCTAGGTAATTGCTTGGATGAGTTTGAACATGGATCATCTCGAATGAAAAACTAGGTCACAAGAGCTTAAAATAGAAAAATCTTGTTAACACTAGTGGCTAACTGTTATGATCCAAATATCCTGGAAATTGGTCTGAAAGTTTGTTTTGATGATTACTAGGTCAAGTTTGAATATGGGTTACCTGGCTTCAAAAACTAGGTCACACCGCCCAAATATGGAAAAACCTTGTTAACACTCTAGTGGTCACATTTATGACTCAATTATCATCAAATTTGGTCAGGATGCTTGGCTAGATAATTGCTCGGATGAGTTTGAACATGGGTCATCTTGATGAAAAACTAGGTCACAGTGGCTAAAAACAGAATAATCTTGTAAACACTCTAGTGGCTACTGTTTTGATCCAAGTATCCTGGAAATTGGTCTGAAAGATTGTTTTGATGATTTCTAGGTCAAGTTCCAATATGAGTCACCTGGGGTTAAAAACTAGGTCACACTGCTCAAATGGTCACATTTTTGACTCACCTGTCATGAAATTTGGTCAGAATGCTTGTCTAGGTAATTTTTTGGATGAGTTTGATGGGTCAGGTGAGCCATGTAGGGCCATATTGGCCCTCTTGTTTTTATAAAGTTATGCCTCTTGTTTTTACTTGTTTTTGCTATAGTCAATTTCTCAAAGACTGTCAAAGCTAATTACTTTTAAACTTCAAACTTGGAATACTTGTTTAATTTAGAAACTTGAAATGCATTTCTAAAGAGCTGTTAACCTTATAATATATTTTTTACTCACTATCATAATTAAAATGCATTTTTAACGAACAGATAACATTGAAAGCCAGTTATGCTAAATTATTTTCTTAGAACATGACTTATTTTAGAGTCAAATTTATATTACTCTATTAACAAATCCAATAAAAGAGATGTTTTTTTGTTGTTTTCATTTCCATCGTGAACATTCACCTGTATTATATGCAGGTATTGGCATTGGACTCAAAACGTTTTACATTATGTTAAAAAAACTCATTGAATTCTGTTTTAGGAACATTTTTATATTGACAAGTTTGCAATAATCTCTACTATTGCATATGTTATTAAAATAATGCTGATTTGTGTATTATGATTTATTGAATAGATGATATCAGATACTCTGAGACTGACAGTATTAGACGTGGAAGGTCAAGGTCAGGATAGAAATTACACCTTCCATCAATTACAAGATTTACACAGTCGTTTGATGTTAGTGGCTGGAAAAGCTGAAAAGGGAAATGACAATGTTGAAAGATTTACTATGGTTTGTAAATAACTTGCTGTAATATAAAGTTTAATTTACAATAATGAAAAATCTACCATAGCTGATGCCTGAATTGTCAAAGTTAGAATGTGCTATTTTATTTCAATGCTATTCATACATATTCAACTTAGTCAAGTGTTAATTTTGATTAATCAGACAAACTCCAGCCTACCAGTTTCACTTGTTGATTGTAAAGTGACATCAATTTTTGTTTCAATAGATATTTGACAGTACAATTAGACTAAGCAATGTGTACATGAAGCTATGTTCCTCTGGATGTGTCCTGTTCAAGAATTGGAGTGCAATGTTTTTCTGTGACCCAAATCGTAAACGACCTGTCTGTATTCAGCTAAAATTTGGACAAGGTGAAGATGTCCCACATCTGAAGGTACTATTTTGTTTTTATGTTACATTTTGAAGTCTCATATGCAATTAAGAAGTAGGAATGATTTTGTTATCTCATTATACTTGCAACAAACAAAGTTTTATGGGGTATACTGGAGTCAGCTGGTGGTTGGTCGGGTGGTCGGTCGGTTGCTTTTGTTGTTGATTTCTTATTTGGGAACTTAGTCTGAATTTACAAGAGAAATCAAATTTTGTAGGTAGATAGAACTCATTGAGTAGAAGTGCAGTGCAAAACACTTTGCCTTGCCTATTTTTTGAGTAATTTCCCTTTGTTTTGTTTTTACACTTTAAACTTTGTCTGGGACATAATCTAAAATGACAAGGGGTATTAACAAGAAACTCTGTAGGTAGATAGATCTCATTGAGAAGAAGTGCAGTGCAAAAGAACTGTAACTCTGCTTTGTCTAATTTTGGAGTTATTGCCCTTTGTTTTTTTGCACATTGAACTTTGTCTGGGACATACAATGTAATTCTAAAATGACAAGGGGTATCAACAAGAAACTCTGTAAGTACATAGATCTCATTGAGAAGAAGTGCAGTGCAAAAGAACCTTAACTCTGCCTTGCCTAATTTTTGAGTGATTGTCCTTTGTTCCTGAAAACAGGTCACGTGCTCCTCCATGCCTCAAAAGTTAAACGCGTACCAATACGCAGGTCTCCAGACCGCAGGGAATAATAAGTGTTAAGTTGTTGGCAGAAATGTGCCACTATATAGAGGATATGAAATTAGTGTAGGTTCAATACAGAAATTTGTGAATGAGTCTAATAAAATCATATTATGTATATATAAGTGAAGCTACATGATTGTTATATTCTATTTGTCACAAATCCAATATAATTACAGTAACAAAAGTATTGATTTTTCATTGACACGTATATAGTGTAACACTAACAATAAGTGCGTCTAAATTTATACTTAACACGTATGTTTGTATAATGCAACTGACATCAGGTAAAAAAATATATGCATGGCCTTGCAATACAGCTTTTACGAGGCCACAAAAACGGCATGGGTATGTGATAAATAAAACATTGTAAATACATCATTTTTAAAGGGCAGAAAGTCATATAATGAAGATTTGAAAGACATGATTCCTAAACTGGCAAACGTTATGGAAAACTGCTATACTGATTGGTTGAAACACATTCAAGACAAACGCAAGAACCATCTTCATCTAAACTACTTTACCATTGATCAGCTTGTTGTTCTACAAAGGGAATTGGTGAAAATTGGAACTGAAACTCAACCTGATCTCCGTATCTATCCATTATTATCAGCTGTTAAAGCAAACTGTACACCAGGTGGGTACATCATTTGATTTTTAATGTTTTTGGTGAATAGATTCAAGTTAAAAATTTAAGGAACAAGCGCCGAGATTTGAAATTTTATGAAAAGTTACAATAGTACTATGTCTCTTTGAGTTAATGTAATGACAAATATGAAATCAAATTCACTATGTATTAAGTAAAGCATCCTTCCCAAAGACATCCACTATTCACAAAATTATTCATTCTGTAGAAGGGGTGTCCCTGGCCGAGTGGTTAAGGTCGTTGACTTCAAACCACTTGCCCCTCACCGTTGTGGGTTTGAATCCCGACAGGGGCTTTGGATTCTTTCATGTGAGGAAACTATCTAGCTAGCTTACGAAACATCAGTGGCTCTACTCAGGTGCCCGTTCCTGCCTGAAATAATGTATGGAAGGGCATCTGAGGTCTTCCTCCACCAGAAAAGCTGGAACGTTGCCATTATGAGAACACAACTTTACTCACTAGGCAGCAGATAGGTGTCAATTGCCATGTTGTGTACATAATTGCTTACATTCAAACATTAAATGAAATAAACTATGACGTAATTGACATGGCATTGCTACAATACTCAATGTATTTTCCGGAACTTTATTCTTCCAACTTTTGTTGTCTGTGTTGAACAGTTTAGTACCACAGAAATATGAGGCACCGGTATACTATGATCAAATCGATCAAATTTTTGAAATCCTATATATATATATTTTAACTGGTAACTACCTAATTATAAAAATATGTTGTACTGTAATGTGTAAATCATTTCCAGATGATGTTTTGGAAGCAATGACAGATGCTAAGAGGGAGATTGATGGGTACGATGAGTTGAAACCTGACGACCTTGAAGAAAATAAATTGGAAGATGATGATGCTGCTGAAATACTTACAAATGTCACTGAAGATGAAAAGAAAGAGAATTTCTTTCAAGAGCTTGTTCTTGCAGGATACAGTGAGGATCTAGCTCTTCGGGCTGCAGAGCTTTTAGATCTGGATGATCTGCCTGCAGGTAATTATTATATATTTGAACATTTCAAAGATGTTTTTAAAATTGATAATAAATCAAAAAGTCATTGAGAATGATATACAAATGCTTGCTAGTGCAAGATGTATTACTTGTATGAACATCCTAGTTTAAGTCTTTCATATATTTAGAAATTATTTCAAATAAGAAGTTTAAATTATTCAGACATGGTGATTATAAGAACTGTTAGATAACAAAGTTTTTCAGACAAATGTTTAATTGTAGCCAAAGTTTAGAAATGCATTTGCATTATGTACTAAAGTTAACTGTGCCTTCAAATTATCATTTTAAAAAAGGAATTATCTGGTGTATGGAGCAAGACATGGCCAAGGCTGATGATGTGGAACAGCCTCAAGTTGAGAATCAGCCAATGAGAGAGCAGGTTACACAGAGACCTACTTTCACTGGCTGGAGCCAATCACAGACTGACATACAAACTATGATAACTACAAACATATCTGGACTGAGGAAGCGAAAGTATTGATTTTTTATATCTAATATTATGTCAATGTTCTATGACTTGTATATTTTTAAATTGTTATGCCCCCCTTAAAGGAAGTGGAGGTATATTGCTTTGCATTTGTCTGTCGGTCGGTCTGTCGGTGCGTAGACCAAATGGTTTCTGGGTGATAACTAGAGAACGCTTAGGTCTAGGAACTTCAAACTTGGTATGATGATTGTTCATGACCAGTAGATAACCCCTATTGATTTTGGGGTCAAAGGTCAAGGTCACAGTGACCTTGTAGGTAAAAACGGTTTCCAAGTGATAACTAAAGAACGCTTTGGCCTAGGAACCTCAAACTTGGTATAATGATTGTTCATGACCAGGAGATGACCTCTATTGATTTTGGGGTCAAAGGTCAAGGTCACATTAACCTTGTAGGTAAAAACGGTTTCCGATCAATAACTAAAGCTTACTTAGGCCTAGGAACTTCAAACTTGGTTTGATAATTGTTCATGACCAGCAGATGACCGCTATTGAATTTGGGGTCAAGGGGTCAAAGGTCAAGGTCACATTTACCCTGAAGGTAAAAATGGTTTCCGATCAATAACTAAAGAACGCTTGGGCCTAGGGACTTCAAAGTTGGTTTGATGATTGTTCATGACCAGCAGATGACCTCTATTGAATTTGGGGTCAAGGGTCAAAGGTCAAGGTCACATTAACCTTGTAGGTAAAAACGGTTTCTGATCAATAATTAAAGCACACTTTGGCCTAGGAACTTCAAAGTTGGTTTGATGATTGTTCATGACCAGCAGATGACCGTTATTGATTTTTGGGTCAAGGGGTCAAAGGTCAAGGTCATATTTACCCTGTAGGTAAAAATGTTTTCAGATCAATAATTAAAGAATACTTTGGCCGAGGAACTTCAAACTTGGTTTGACGATTGTTCATAACCATCAGATGACCCCTATCGATTTTGGGGTCAAGGGGTCAGAGGTCAAGGTCACATTAACCTTGTAGGTAAAAACAGTTTCCGATCAATAACTATAGTAAGCTTAGGCCTAGGAACTTCAAAGTTGGTATGATGATTGTTCATGACCAGCAGATGACTATTGATTTAAGGGTCAAAGGTCAAGGTCACATTGACCCTGTAGGTAGAAACGGTTTCTGATCAATAACTAAAGAACGCTTAGGCCTAGGAACTTCTAACTTAGTATGATGATTGTTCATGACCAGCAGATGACGCTATTGATTTTGGGTTCATGGGGTCAAAGGTCAAGGTCACATTTACCTTGTAGATTAAAACAGTTTCCGATCAATATCTAAAGAATGCTTAGGTCTAGGAACTTCAAACTTGGTATGATGATTGTTCATGACCAGCTGATGACACCTATTGATTTTGGGGTCAAGGTCACATTGACCTTGTATGTAAAAACGGTTTCCGATCAATAACTTGACAACCCATGGGCTGTTGGCCCTCAAACTTGGTAGGTGCATTGGACTTGACCAGTAGATGACCCCTATTATTTTGGGGTCAAAGATCAAGGGTTTTGCATTGAAACAGTTTTCTATCAATAACTTGACAAGCTATGGGCTTTTGGCCCTCAAATTTTGAAGGTGCATTGGTATTTGCCAGTAGATGACCCCTATTGATTTTGGGGTCAGGGAAACAAAGGTCAAGGTTGCATTGACCTTGTATTTCAAAACAGTTTTCTATCAATAACTGGACAACCCATGGACCCTTGACCTTCAAGCTTTACAGATGCATTGCTTTTGGTCAGAAGATGACCTCAATGGATTTTTTGGTGTTAAGGGGTCAGAGGTCAAGACCACATTGACCTTATAGGTAACAACGCTTTCTGATCAATATCCCAACTCATGGGCCCTTTACCTTCAAACTTCACAGGTGCATTGGTCTTAGACAGTAGATAACCCCTATTGATTTCAGGGTCAAAGGTCAATGTCATTTTGACCTTGTATGTAAAAATTGTTGCCTTGGTTGATATTTTTTATTAAACTAAAAATCCTTTTAGTATACACATTTCAAGGTCTTTTGTAATATAACAACTTGGCTGTCGTTAATGAGGCCTACATGATTCATAAAATTTATGCATATATTATTTGGTAAGATTTGAAATAACTTTGTCATAAAATTGCTGCACACAACCTTTGCGGTAACAAATACCTAGTGACTAGTCATAACCAGTAATTAATCCTTATTGATTTTTTGGTCACTAGGTCAAAAGTCAGTCATAATAATCTGATCACATGACTAATTGGCTGCCGATAGGGGGCATACATGTTTTACAAACATATCTTGTTTACTTTTGTGATAAATAAATGTTTCATTAAATTTTAATTGAATTACTTATTAACATCTTACCCTTTTTTATCACAGTGATTTTGGGTCGGCTCCTCTGATCAATGAACTTACAGCGTTATGGGAACAGTTTCTGGAGTCTATATCTTCCAACATACGAGACTATCTAAGTTTGGAACATCTTGGTCTTATACTGAAACATCTTGCTCGAAAAGGTATGATAATGGGTCAATTAAAATGGCCATGGCGCTTGATCCTTTAGATAAGCTTTTGATACAAGCAGAGTAACATGAACTGTCAATTGACAAAAGAGCTATTATTATAATTCACATTTGATATATTTTTGGTGTAAGAAAGTATTATATTACAGACAAAAGTCTTCAGCTCTCTGTTTCATAATTTGTTATGGTTTTTCTTTAATTACCAAATTATTAGTTACTTAACAAATTGCTATGTAATGTCATCACCAAGGGCTGGCTGTTTTTATGTGTATAAATTTATTACATTGCTTTTTAGTTTTAAAGCATGATTTTTAAAATAATTTCATTTTTATACAAACTATCAAAACAATTAAACTTCAATTTAAGTTTGTGCAGGTATCTACCTTTGTAAAACAGTTCTTGAAATATGTTCCTGATATCCAAAAGTATTGTCATTAATATTTTATAGAAAAAAATTCAATTTGATATACATGTATCTGAATCTATTTGTAATGGTTCTTTAACATAATTTTAGAAATATAATTTTATAAACATATGTACATTTGTATAAGTCAACATATTGACAAACCCCGCATATGGCACCTATGTCTGTGACATCTAAAAGGACAAAGTTTTTTTACTCCCTTTCAAAGTAGTTTCCTTGGTTTCCAACACAGCGCTGATATCTGTTTACCCATTTATGAAAAACATTTAAATACCTGCTGAATAAGAGACAGAGACAGTGACTTTACTTCTGGATCAATATACTTACACTCATCCTAAATGTAATAAGTAATTGTAATATTGAGGGCAGTTTTATGTCATTATTTCACAGATACCAATCTAATATCCAGATCGTTACCTCTTGGATACAATGAAGGTGAACCTAATCTTATTATGTGTCCCTCAGGTAAGCTATAATTTGTCCTTTGTAAAGTTAAATATGATAAAAGCAGCTTTAAAATTGGATTTGTTAGCTCCTAGCAAGTATTTGTGTATAAAAATTCATAACAAGAACTTAGGTTGTGTGTAAAATAGGTATTCAGATATTTTAGATAAGTTGATTTATGTCAAAGAGATACAGACATGTCCCCAATGGGAGGCATAGGCCTTGAGACTAGACCGTATGCTAGAGAATGTCTTTGGTGTGTAGGTTTGTCATGATTAGTAGATAATCATTAATGATTGATTTATGGTATGACCAGCAGATCACCCCTATTGATTTTGAGGTCTTTGGGTCAATGTCAGGGTCACAGTAGAAATTTTTGTCCAATCAATAACTTGAGGAAAAGATAAGCTTTGGTTTGTTTAACTTGGTAGGGATATTGGCCTATGGACAATAGATTACTCCTGCTGATTTAAAGGTAATATGGTCAAGGTCATGGTGATATTGGATGTAAATCTTTGTCAGATCAATATATCTAGAGTTTTCTGAGTTATAGGGATATGACATTTATAACATGTAGTTGCAATATTATTTCAATATGATTAATTGTTAACTTAAATTAATTTCTTGATTCTGCAAAGAAAGCATAGAAAAGGACTAATCATTTTTCTCCACGTAGTTTTGTTATACTTTTATGCTCAAGATTTGCAATCTTTTCTTTGAAAAATACCAAAGCAATTTTAAGGCCAAAATAGCAGATGTTATTCCCAACATTGCCAAGACCTTTAGCAAGGATTTTTCAATTTAACTGTCCAAGTAGGACTGTGCATTTGCCAGAGGTTTTACATTACAAACCTCAAAGTCCTTGCTGTTTCTCTGGGATGGTTGATGGTTAATTATGTTTTTACAATAATTGTCTGACTTATATTACCTTTATATACTTCAGAAGATGTATTGATGACAACACTATCTATATATATGATGGACAGAGATCAACCTCTACCACAGTCTGATGAAATACTCTTGTGTACACCTAACACAACAAAAGATGAAGTAAGTGTCAAGTATATTTTAAATTTAGCAAATTTCTTTAAAACATCATGGCTTAACTGTATTGGCATTTACCAATAAAAGGATATGTAAGGGGTTCAAATTTACTGAAAAACGTTGCTTTGTGCAGATTATGTACTGTTCTTGTGATATTCAAAATTCATGTTAAGGCCAGAAAAAATTGAAGAATAATTCATTATAGTTATGTTTATTTTGTTAGAATATTGTTGTTGTAACAAGGTATAGTGTTCAAGTGTAGTGCTTTTGAAGCTGTTAAGGCACCTGTGTGACAATGTTTTCCTATACTTTATGTATTAATCTCAAGCCTCACACATTTCATAGTTCATCATTAAATTTTGTGTAATCCAGGTTGATATATTTTGGAGGAGGGCAATATTTGATGGAGGAAGAAAGATTCACTGTCTGGTAAATGCTGATATGTTAGATTATGATGTCAGTGAAGCTGCAGAGAGATGTCTCGAGGAATATCTGCTGGAAGTTTATCAACAAGGTTAGTTACTGTTAACAGTAATGTTAAGAGTTGTGACCCATACATAAACAACTGCATTCAGTTGAATTGAAAAACCATGGTTGTATAAATTTCACATTCAACACTTATTCATACTGATCAGTAACATAAAAAAACACTAGAAATAAAACTTAACGATAAAATGTTATTAGAATCATAAATAAAATATTATTATTAACATAAGTCAATATCTATATTTACAGAGTTGAAATATCGTTTGTTGGTGATCTGTGGTTCAGACAATGAGTACAGATCTACCATTGTGTCATCACTGGACAAGTTTAAGAGACAACCATTACCAGCAAACACTTCTCATTTACGAGACTACCTGGCTAATAAACTAATTGTACAGGAACATGATATAGTAGGTGTTAGACCAGCAGCTTGTGTTGATAGACAGAGGTAAATTGACATAAAATAATTAACTTTTTATGAAGAATTCTAGTTTTATTATTCCTAGTTAAGCTTTTGCTAAATACAAGGTCAAAGAACAAAAGTTCTATAGGTCATGTCCTTGAGTTAAAAATGGCAATGCCTTTGGGGTCACTTAGTTTTCATAGACTTGTAAAGTAAAAATCCTCTCTGAATGTACAGTTAATGCCAAGAGTTTAGATATTGGTCATGTAGCATCACCTTTTGTTCCTTTGTAGAATTTGTATGCATCGTGCCACAGGGGTGAAAAAATTGGTTCTTGCCCTGAGGGTCACTTAGTTCATATACACTTTAGTAGTAAAAACCAAAATTAGGTTTTCTGGTGTAAAATAACAAAGTCAAGAGCTTTGATATTTGTCATAAAGAATTTCTGTCAGATATCTAGAAATCATTTAAAAATTATGATGCTTTGGTAAAAAATGACAAACCCAATATGACTTCATTACTGAAATTGTAACCTTTTCTAGAAATGTATCTCAGATGAACGATCCAAGGTCATCATGGCCCTCTTGTTTTAGGTCTACAGTACGAGTGATCAAATCATGGAGAGCTGGTGTAGGCAAGACATTGTTTAAACATAGAAGAGAAGAAGAACTGTCACGTCTAAACAGAGGACCAGTTAAATCAGACACAGTGTCTATACCACTACAAGAGAAAACAATTGATCTACATTATGTGATAGAGAGACTTCTAGAACACACAACACATCCAGGGGAGATTACTGCCAGACTCTTCCATATTGATGTAGCACATGAGGTAGTTTATGATCATGATTGTATATTCTTCACTTTTAAGTTAGGGAAAAATGAAATTAAAATGGTTTCTATGCAGGCCATGTCATTAAAATCTTTGCTGTCTAGCATGTAACATTTTTCCTTCTCCTATATGGTAGAGATATTGATGTCTATATTGTTTATGCAATTAAATGTATTCAGTTATTTTACAGACTACATGGACAATGAAAACTATAAGAGGTAATATGCTCTGTCAACGAAATGTATGTAAAAAAATTCTGAGGTCCTGGAATTTAGTTCATAATTCAGTAGATTTCTTTGAAGTAAAATTTACACAAATATTAGTATAATGTAAACATGTAATGTAATGTAAAGATATATTTTCTGTCAACAGGTAGAGAATGGTGTAGATTACCTACTGTTTAACTTGCTAGTACTGGGATGTTTGACAGACAAGACTGGCTTTGTATGGAGGAAATCCCCCACTGATATCTACCTGATTGAAACCATGCCTTTAATGATGCATGCTATGGATAAAAGGGTAACTTACTGTTTCAACAATATATTTAAAATATTTTATAAGATATTTGTTAAGATTTTGTCAAGCTGGAAAAGTAAGCGAAATAAGAAAATATCTATTGAAACTTAAAATTCAGGGCCAACTGAGAAACTGCTGATGCAAATTGGTATGAATAATTTTTGGCTAAAATGAATTTAATCAAATAAAATTCATGTCTAATACAAGGAAGCTACAGGACAGGGTCAACGAAGGATTTACTTGACTTTGAATGTAACGAATTTCTGTATAAAACAAAAAAATACTCATTAATTTCATTTCTCATGAAATTTACTATAATTGAAAACTATGATGATACTACATCACCTGATATTGAATGACAGGATATAATATAGTATAATGATACTGAATTTCACACAGTAATAACTACATAACAAGAATTTGAATGTATGACTTACTGGGCCATAAGGAAGCACTATCTCATTCCCTTTTGCTCATCTTTACAGGGAGCAGATTTACAGTATGTACATCCTATGTTAAATGTGTTACCAGATCTGACCTGTAGATCACCACAGGACAGCTTGCAGATATATGATGGTGTTGAACTTCATGGTACATATTTATTTTGTCTAATCTTATTTTGTTGACTCCATCCTTTTGGTAAGGGGGAAGTGGTGTGCTTTTAAGTTATCTTGGCCAACATACTAGAAATAACTTCATTATCTTATTTTGCAATACATGTATTTATTATGATTCTTTTGTTGAAAATCAAAGAAAATAAATATTTTATACATATTTACAGACAGCTAAAAGGATGAGACTGTAAAGTTGTAGTCATCTTTGAAAATCATTTTACAGCCTAATAATGCATCTGTCTTTAATATTGAAACAAACGCTTATAAAGAAATGTTTATTTGATGTCAAATTGAACTCATTACAAGTACATGTTCTTGTCTTTAAAAGGACTTCACTGAGGTTTTTTTTTACGTGATGGGACTAAAAATAATGTTTCGAGATTTTATTTAATCCATTTGATGTAGGTCTTGATCAATAACTTGTGTGCAAAATTTCAGATCATTCCCTCAATCTGTTTTTTTTTAAAAAAGTAATTTTTATTGTAAAAATTACCTATAACTGAAAAGTGTTGCAACGCTTTTCACTCAAATCAGACTAAGAATAACATCAATATATTTCAGGGTATATTTCTTAATATTCTTGATGTGTTGATGTTAAACTCATACAAACAATTGTTGAACCAGAGTCATTGTTTTTAAAGCTTTCTACTGTACAATGAACAATATTATATAAAACAATTTATTTTTATGATAAAAGATAGGCTGCACTTAATAGATACAAAAAAGGAACAAAGGAAATTGTATTAAACTTTGTGCTTGAAATATTTAGATTACAACGACTCTGATCAGTTATTTGATGAGCAACAGTTTAGAAGCCCAGTATTCCAGCGTACATTCCAGTACTTACTGAGACTAGATCAAGGGAGACAACTTGATGATGTCAAGCCAGACAATCCAGAAGGTCATCCACAGGCATGCCTTCAAACGTTACTAAGGTTATCTTTTTTTTCTTTGATTGATTTTCTGTAGAACCATCTAGTACTGCAAACTATTTGAAACATTTTAAGGAATGTACTTAAGGTTTTCTCAAAAGCTTTATATAATTATGTATGCCTATCACAATGATATTATTATTAACTATTATTATCCCATGCCGATGGAATCGGGAGGGGGATATAGTTTTGGCGTTGTCCGTCCGAATTTCGTTTCCGGAGTAGTTCTCTGCAACTACTGGCTGGAATTCAACAAAACTTTATGGGAATCATCAATATCAAGAGATGATGCGCATATCGTCCGCTTGTTCCGGTCAGACACTTTAACTCAGAGTTATGGCCCTTGATTAGTTATGTAGTATGCATATAGAGTAAAAATCGTTTCCGGAGTAGTTCTCTGCAACTACTAGCTGGAATTCAACGAAACTTTATGGGAATCATCAATACCAAGAGGAGATGCGCATATCGTCGGCTTGTTCCGGTCAGACACTTTAACTCTGAGTTATGGCCCTTGATTAGTTGTGCAGTATACATATGGAGTATAAATCGTTTCCGCGCTACTTCTCTGCAACTACTGGCTGGAATTCAATGAAACTTTATGGGAACCTTCAATACCAAGAGGAGATGCGCATATCGTCGGCTTGTTTGGGTCAAACACTCTAACTCAGAGTTATGGCCCTTGATTAGTTATGCAATATGCATATGGAGTAAAAATTGTTTCCGGAGTAGTTCTCTGCAACTACTGGCTGGAATTCAACGAAACTTTATGGGAATCATCAATATCAAGAGGAGATGCGCATATCGTCGGCTTGTTCCAGTCAGACCCTTTAACTCAGAGTTATGGCCCTTGATTAGTTATGTAGTATGCATATGGAGTAAAAATCGTTTCCGGAGTAGTTCTCTGCAACTACTGGCTGGAATTCAACGAAACTTTATGGGAACCTTTAATACCAAGAGGAGATGGGCATATCGTCGGCTTGTTCCGGTCAGACACTTTAACTCAGAGTTATGGCCCTTGATAAGTTATGCAGTATGCATATGGAGTAAAAATCGTTTCCGCGCTACTTCTCTGCAACTACTGGCTGGAATTCAACGGAACTTTATGGGAACCTTCAATACCAAGAGGAGATGCGCATATCGTCGGCTTGTTCCGGTCAGACACTTTAACTCAGAGTTATGGCCCTTGATTAGTTATGCAGTATCCATATAGAAAACTATTTGTTTCCTCGCTACTTCTCTGCTACTACTGGCTGGAATTCAATGAAACTTTATGGGATACTAAGAGGAGATGTGCATATAGTCGCCTTGTTCCGGTCAGATACTTATAACTCAGATTTATGGCCCTTGATTAGTTATGTAGTATGCATACATCTCATTGGCATTTCCAGATTTTACTTATTTAACACAAAGTTATGGCTCTGTTATTGCCCTGAACATTTATCAAGTTCAAAGAATATTACTGTTTATGCCATGATTAATATATAAATAAAAGCCTTATGTCTTCAGTTGTTGTGTTAATAATAACCAGTACTCAGCGGGGGATATAAATTCAACGAATTTGCTTGTTACTTATATTTCTTTGTGCAAAATAAACCTATTTAGTTCTGTCTAACAGCCTTTTTAAATTTGTTTTAGATAAAAAAAGCAAAAAACACTAAATGTTATAAAAATGCTACAAATACAGGATTATATGTATATGTATATCGATTTTACTTATTCTAAAATTTATTTCAGACAAATTTTACAGTGACTTTCAAGCTTTATTGATGGACAGGGACCTTAGGTGTTCTGAAGCGCATTTGATTTGTTTCATCCTGAATAAACCCATTCATATTACACATGAAACAGTTTAAACACATGAAGTAAAAATATAATTTCTAGAATTAGAAATCTAAACTTAAGGTTTATAATGACTTCTTTACCCATTATCATTACATTACCTAATTCCAGACATTGTGGATTAGAAGATCCATCTTGGTCGGAGCTTCATCATTTTGTTTGGTTTCTGAATACACAGCTGGTAGATTTTGAGAATAACATGTTTGTTAGTGCAGCTGCTGCAGAAGATCTTCCTGGATTCTCCAAATTTGTCCTCAGATTCCTCATTCAGATGTCTAGGGTAAGAAAAGAAAACAGATTTTTGTTAATTATTTGTTTGTTGTTGAGTGTTAATGAACATTTTGTAAATTCATTGACCTACTTTCGGGTATCCACTTGCTACTTGTTTTTTTTATATAAAAAAAGAGTCACAGATATTGTGTTTCGAAAGAGTAGTATAAATTTTGGATACAGGAGAAACTTTACATGTGACGATTTAAAAATTCTTTAAAATTATCTCTAGGCGTTTATTTTGACATATATGGGGAACTTAAAGGTAATTTCTGATGGATATTTATAGAAATTTCATTGGGCCACCTAAGTTATTTATCAAACATGCGAAAGGAAATGATAAAACTGAAAGAAATTAAGGCAGAACCTAAACATATTTTGACTTTCAGCAGTTCACTCACTTAATAATACTGCACATATTTTTAGCTCACCTGTCACAAAGTGACAGGGTGAGCTTTTGTGATCGCTTTTCGTCCGGCGTCCGTCCGGCGTCCGTCCGTAAACTTTTACTTTAAATGACATCTCCTCATAAACCACTAAGCCAATTTCATCCAAACTTCACAGGAATGTTCCTTTGGTGGTCACCTTTAAAAATTGTTCAAAGAATTTAATTCCATGCAGAACTCTGGTTGCCATGGCAACCGAAAGAAAAAACTTTAAATATCTTTTTTTTAAAAAACCATAAGAGCTAGAGCTTAGATATTTGGCATGAAACATCTTCTAGTGAGTGTCTACCAAGTTTGTTCAAATAAAAGCCCTGGGGTCAAAATTGGCCCCGCCCCCGGGGGTCATTGATTTTCCCTATATGCATATAGTAAAAAATTAAAAAATCTTCTTTTAAAGAACCCAAAGAGCTAAAGCTAAGATATTTAGCATGAAACATGTTCTAATGGGTGTCTACCAAGTTTGTTCAAATAAAAGCCCTGGGGTCAAAATTGGCCCCGCCCCGGGGGGGTCATTGATTTTCCCTATATGCATATAGTAAAAACTTAAAAAATCTTCTTTCAAAAAACTCAAAGAGCTATGGCTAAGATATTGAGCATCAAACATGTTCTAATAGATGTCTACCAAGTTTGTTCAAATAAAAGCCCTTGGGTCAAAATTGGCCCTGCCCGGGGGGTCATTGATTTTCCCTATATGCATATAGTAAAACCTTAAAAAATCTTCTTTAAAAGAACCAAAAGACCTATAGCTCAGATATTTAGCATGAAACATCCTCTAATGGGTGTCTACCAAGTTTGTTCAAATAAAAGCCCTTGGGTCAAAATTGGCCCTGCCCCAGGGGGTCATTGATTTTCCCTATATGCATATAGTAAAAACTTTAAAAATCTTCTTTTAAAGAACCCAAAGAGCTAGAGCTAAGATATTTAGCATGAAACATGTTCTAATGGATGTCTACCAAGTTTGTTCAAATAAGAGCCCTGGGGTCAAAATTGGCCCTGCCCCGGGGGTCATTGATTTTTCTTATATGTGTATAACAAAAACTTAAAAAATCTTCTTTTAAAAAACTCAAATAGCTAGAGTTTAGATATTAAGCACGAAGCATCTTCTAGTGAGTGTCTACCAAGTTTGTTGTAATAAAAGCCCTGAGGTCAAAATTGGCCCCGCCCCGGTGACATTGATTTTACTTATATGTGTATAGCAAAAACTTAAAAATCTTCTTTGAAAAAACCTGAATAGCTAGAGTTTAGATATTAAGCATGAAACATTTTCTTGTAAGTATCTACAAAGATTGTTCAAATAAAAGCCCTTGGGTCAAAACTGGCCCTGCCCCAGGTGTGTCATTGTTTTTAACTATATGTGTAAAGAAAAAAACTTGACCAGCTAGACCTTAGATGTTTAGCATGAAACATCTTCTAATGGGTGTCTACCAAGTAAAAGCCCTGGGGTTTAAACAAGCCCCGCTCCGGGGGCCTTTATACAGGTGAGCGACTTCAGGGCCATCATGGCCCTCTTGTTTAATGTCACTTTTCATTAGATAATTACAACGTTTATATTATTAGTTATAAAGATCGTTGACAGGTTATATGGCCCTTTATTACCCTTCCAGATTTTTTCCGCCTTTTTGATTGGATATTAATCACCCGAAAGAAATTGATATAACCGAGCCAGACGGGTAATATACACACTAAATTTTCCCCGTTGGGTACCCAACGTTGTAAACGACATGCGCTGAGGTGATGCGAGTACGGTTCGATTTTACGCGGTGTAAATTCCGATTTACAATCACTTTTTAACTGTCAAATGATAAATATTTACCAAAGTAGAGTAATGATACAAATTCCCATCAGTATTGAAAACAAATATGACCTTGTGAAAGCTTGATATTAATTACAAAAAAAGTGCTTTCAATAGACTACTCCTTTTCTCTTGTTTACATTCGTTAGGTACGGGAAAAATACGTCATGTATTTATGTGACGTCATGTTGTGATGAAGAGGTACCCTAAAGGGAATCTTATTTCAACGTTTCATTTGAAACAGCAATGATTTTTTTAAAAAATCGTCTAAACTCGGCAAGGGAAGGGTAATAAAATTATTATTTTGGATTTGGAGTGATGTATGTGGATATATTACCTGCCAAGATAAAATATAATATAATATAATATAATAAGATATAAAATCTTAGCAGGTAATATATCCACATATATCACTCCAAAACCAAAATAACATATAATATAAACGGCTATTTGTAAATATAACGGCTCGGGTTATATTGCAAACAGCTGTTTATATACGGCCATATAACCTGTCAACAATCTTTATAACGAATTTATAATACAGCAAGCATCATTTTTTAGAGAAAAAAGTAAGATTTCTTCATGAATCGACAGCAGCCGTGTATATAAAACTATATAAACATCATGATTATCCAATGAAAAATGACGTTACAAACGTGCAGTATTATAAAGTTTTATATACATGGCTGCTGTTAATTTAATAGAAAATCTCAATTCTTTCTCTAATCAGAAAGTTTGCTGTATTATTGTAAATCTTCCTGACAGGTAATATGACCGTGTATAAACGGTTATTTGCAATATAACCCAAGCCACAATTTCCAAAACAACTGTTTATATACGGCCATTTAACCAGTCAAAAAAATTTATAACTGGTTATAAATATCCCTGACATCTTGTATGGCCATATACTTTATCTTGCATTATATGCAAAACATAAGATGAAACGAGTTTTTATACTGAATCAACAATACAGTGGAGACTAAAAGCTCTTATTTCCATTTTCTACTATTATATAGGATTTTTCTACCCGTTCTTTAAAAATGAGTGAGGAATCTCCTGGTGTAAAACCAAAAGCTCAGTTCAGAGAAGTGCGTATGGATGACGGAGAAGGTGACAATGATGACATTGGTAATGACTTGGAGGCGTATCAGATGAGGAGGACCTGGGAAAGCAGGTAATAAACCAACTAATGATGACTTACATATTTTCTTGTTGTTACTCTTTAACAACATCAATAATATTTGAAGTTTAAATAATTACATGTAGCATTCAAACCATGTTAATCAGTGTTGTGTCCATTACATTTTCATTCTAAAGTTAATCTTGAATAATGGACATGAGTGTCTGTGATGAGCAAAAACAATCTCTGCCCCTCACTAAGGGCGTCATATTGATTTGCTCATGTCAGTAAGTATAATCCATAATGATAGACTTACAAAGCATTGGAATGTGGGGACATCTATTTCATATGAACACATTTCTAGTTTATTATGTTTTTTATTATTTTAGTTGTTAGAAAATAGAACATTTATTGTCTTGAATTATTTTCTCTGTTTCAGTCCACATCCATATCTGTTTTTCAACTCGGATAGATTAACGTTCACTTTCCTTGGATTTTTCATTGACAAAGCCTCTGGAAATTTGATAGATCAACAAACAAAAACTGTTCTAGAAAATGGAATAATGGCTAAAAATTTATATGACTCTCTGGTCAGAAATCATGCTCCAATACAAGAAAACTTTGATGCTCTTCCAAGGTAATTTTGAAATCGTCTTTTATTCATTTTATCTTGCTATCAAAGGATTTCTCTGAATACTTACAGGAACATAGTACAAAGTACTTCTGAGCTTATATTACTATATTGACCACCCAGTCAGCAACAAACATTGAATGTTTGCAGGTTGACTGATAGGTCAGTTTAAGGTCAGTTTAATGCCATGAGGCTTTCAGTGCTGTTACCTATTTTTTAAATATACATGGAAAGATCTTTTTATTGGAATAATTGTGATTTGTGCAGAGTTAGTTGTTTGATAAGTTTATCTTGGAATTAATTTTTTTGCTTGATCCGCTTTTTTTCAGAGATCAGAAAATCACAAAGTTATGCAATGTAATGGGGATAGAATTTCCTCATGATCCTGATGACACCTATGAGTTGACAACTGACAATGTGAAGAAAATCATGGCAATCTATATGAGGTTTAGGTAAGTTGAAATGGGTTTATTAGAACAAAAAAAAAATTCATATCAGGGGAGGGTTAATTATGAAGATGATTTAATTCAAACTGACAATGTTGAGAAAATCAAGACACTTGATGTTAATGCTACATGTTGAGAGGTTGAAGAAAAATGCAATGTAGAAAGTAACGAATGGCAATTTATGTAAATTGACCCTAAAAGTTGGTGAAGGAATACCTCAGGTGCCCATTTGTGAAATATTTCAGGCACAAGCTGATGTAGAAATGTCATGAATAAGAACCTTTTGTGTAGCTCAATGTTAAAAGAATTTGAAGATCAGATTAGGTCTTTAGTATAGATTGTTAATTGTACATACAATATTTGTGTCATTTGATTTGGGATTTTAAAACAACTTTGCAGAATAATAAGTAAGATTAAAAACAAAATCTTGTGAAAAGGTCAAAGATAAAAAAGAAATTCACCAATTTGTTTCTTTTTTAAATCTGGCTGGCCCAAAAAATTTCCCTTATCCATCTAAGTAAATAACTTTGCTGTGTAGTTTTATTTGTCTGGTTGAAATATTTGAATTTATGTTTAACAAATCAATGTCATTGGTTAGGCATACTCTAAATGAATTAACTACTGAATTTCTTTTCCAGATGTGATATACCAGTTATCATTATGGGAGAGACAGGGTGTGGTAAAACAAGATTGGTCAAGTTTATGTGTTCTCTACAACAACCACCTGGTGTTAACATGACAAACATGATCCTTATGAAGGTAATTAGAAACTTCATATATTGGTTATTCTAATGAACCTGTGTTAAGTTTGTCCTTTCGCTTTTTATAAGCTCACCTTTGCGCAAAAAAATGCTCACTTGTGATGACAGTGTTTCCATTGCTCTGCATTATTCAACAACAACTCCCACTATACCACATGGAAATGTTTGACTAAACTTCACAGTAATGATCCTAAGATGGCCCTATATAAAAGTTAAATAAATGGTTTCAGTCTGCTGCATGAGAAAGGTCATACAAGCTGAGACAAAGACCATAAAAATGAAATCTTAAAAAAGTCTTGTTCTCTGAAACTACGTTGCCAAGAGATAAGATATTTCGTATGTAGCAATATCATTTCGTGCTCTATGAAAGTTATATCAATCATGTCCGTGGGATCGAAAATTGCCCACCCAAAGGGTGAGGGTCATTAATTCTTAATATTGAACCCTACATAGAAAAACACATTTTTTGGGGCACAAAAAAGCAGTGCCTAGAGCAAAGATATTTGGTATGTTCCTATAACCTAGTGTTTCTCTATAAGAGTAATATACAGGTAAATCATTATATCAGGTAAAAGGGTCAAAACTTGCCCTGCCCTAAAGATCTTTTACTTTATTTTAGATTTATACAAGTATAGTAAACACCTTTAAAAAAATATCTTCTAGAGCGAAGATATTTGGCATATAGCATAAATTTGTGGTTGTCTACATAAGTCATAAAAATCATGCCCCTGTGATCAAAATTTGTCATGTCCTGGAGATCACTTAGTATACAAAGACTTAATTTATATAAGAATACATTTAAATCTTCTTGTATGATATTGTTATGCCCAACGCTTAGATATTTGGCATGTAGCATTTCCAAGTGGGCATTTAGAAAAATTATATGAATCATGCAGTTTGGGTTAAAAATGGCACACAAAATTTAATGTTCTTACGTCTTGAAAAATTGCGACCCTTTACCTGTTTAGTTATTAGAATAAAATTCTCTTTACTTTCAAAACAATTTTTTAACAATCATGTAAGTTCAAGATTGAAATATTTTATGTCATGTGAAAGGTTCATGGTGGCACAACACACAAAGACATAATCAAGAAAGTTCAAGAGGCAGAAGAAACCGCACAGGAAAACAAAGATGAATATGGAGACCATGTGTACACCGTTCTGTTCTTTGATGAAGCAAACACAACAGAAGCTATTGGACTTATTAAAGAAATCATGTGTGACAAAAGTATGGAGGGAAAGAAACTAAAATTATGTGAAAACCTGAAAATGGTGGCTGCTTGTAACCCGTATAGAAAGTATGAATAACATTTGATCCTTTGAAACATTTTTATCAATTTAGATATATTTATATAGCATTTAAACTTCAGTTACAATCAACTTTATTATTTTCATAAGCTTGCACTTGAAGTCTCTTCACAATTGTTTTTATTGAAATATTTAGATTGGTGAAGGTCAGTTTGTAATGTTGGCAAAGAAGCAAACCCAGTGAGGTCCATTTAAGCAATTTCAATTGCTTGTAATATATAGTGAGATCAACAGAATTTCAGTAACATAAGCATTAAAATTTCTTGAAAAAAAAAATCGTTTGAATTGTAGACATTCAGAAGAGCTAATCAAAAAATTAGAGCAGGCAGGACTTGGTTACCACGTTGATGCTGATGAAACAACAGACAGACTGGGGCGAGTACCAATGAGACGTCTTGTGTACAGGGTCCAGCCTCTACCACAAAGTTTACTGCCACTAGTGTGGGACTTTGGACAACTGAACACGGAAGTGGAAGATCTTTATATTAGACAAATGGTCAGGAGATATGTAAGTTGAGATTGAAATTTATTAGGCTAATACAAATTTTTCCATTGAAAAAAATTTGATGAGTCATAAATGTAATAGCCTGATATAAAAACTTTTTTCCTTGTCTTAAGTTTTAGTCCTGTACCATATAATAAGATTTGAATTATATTGCATTGATGTTTCACACAAAATTGGTGCAAAAAAGAGGATAGTTCCTCATAAGATTGCTGTAAAGACAAAATATCACACAGTTTGATGGTGTGTGAATAAGGCTAAAGACTGTTTTCTTTCCAATCATGTCTTCCAAGGTATTATAAGTTGAAAATTGTTTAAAAATTTTAACTGAATGTTAAAAAGTGACTGTCATTGTTATATATTTTAGATACGTGAAAATAAACTACCTGGGAAAAGAGGATTGATAGAAGTTGTTAGTGCAATCCTTACAGCTTCACAGGATTACATGAGGGCACAAAAGGTAAAATACAACTTAAGATTACATGAGGGCACAAAAGGTAATATACAACATAAGATTACATGAGGGCACATAAGGTAATATACAACATAAGATTACATGAGGGCACAAAAGGTAATATACAACATAAGATTACATGAGGGCACAAAAGGTAATGTACAACATAAGATTACATGAGGGCACAAAAGGTAATATACAACATAAGATTACATGAGGGCACATAAGGTAATATACAACATAAGATTACATGAGGGCACATAAGGTAATATACAACATAAGATTACATGAGGGCACAAAAGGTAACATAAGATTACATGAGGGCACATAAGGTAATATACAACATAAGATTACATGAGGGCACAAAAGGTAATATACAACATAAGATTACATGAGGGCACAAAAGGTAATATACAACATAAGATTACATGAGGGCACATAAGGTAATATACAACATAAGATTACATGAGGGCACAAAAGGTAACATAAGATTACATGAGGGCACATAAGGTAATATACAACATAAGATTACATGAGGGCGCAAAAGTTAATATACAACATAAGATTACATGAAGGAGCAAAAGGTAATATATAACAAATTTGAGATTGCTAAAAAGGTAGCTCTTCCTGAATTTTTTGGCTGGAAATGAAGATGAGGCTAAATTGATAAATGATTTCTATTGGAACATCATGTGTTGCAAATGCTGAAAGTTTATTGGTTACATTTTATCAGGTGTGAAATAATTGATTTTATCTGGCAGGATGAATGTAGTTTTGTGTCACTACGAGATGTTGACAGAGTGTTGACTGTAATGAGCTGGTTTTACCAACAGAGTCAAGGGGAGAGAACTCTGTATGACCTAATGGACGAGAAACTATATGGTGAGGAGGAATCAGCAACTGATGACGAGGATGATGATGAAGATGAAGAGATGTCATTTTTTAGAGATGATGAAGGAGTAAGAGTTATAAATTTGTAACAATGGTTGTCCTTATTTGAAATGTGACTTTTGCAGTGATGTTTTTTTGTAATTTTATTCCCCGGATCAAAGATATACAAGTTGTTTCATTTTTCTAGGCCAGTTGGGCTGAAAAAAATTACGGGCTCAACCAATAATTTTCAGACTCTTACCAAGTTACCTGCATAATAACATGTTTCCTTTCTGGAAATGGAGAATCATTTTCAGTAAAGTGGCTATGATAAATGATGTGGCCTCATGTCAAATAGCAAAGTCAATGCATTTATCATTTCATATTCAAATGAAACACCTCTTTAAGTTTAATATATATTAATTTACAGGGTGACAGAGTAGATGATATTACCCGTTCTCTTATACTAGCACTTGGTGTTTGCTATCATGCCTGTCTGAAAACTAGGCCGCAGTATCGTGCACACGTTGCACCAGAATTTGGTGTACCTTGTCATCTTCCAGGTGGTGCGGATCAAATACAAGAAGAGATTGAATGGTAATTTGATATTGTTTGGCATCTTTGTAAACCTTTTGATTAACAAAGCGAGGTAGATTTTATTTACATTGTGTAAAAAATGCAATAAATAAATTTTAAACGCACACACAAAGTTTGGACAAATTGATCAACTAGAGTTGAAGATATTGGGTGCGTTTCACTAACATACTTAGGGTATCGTTACTCGAGTTTTTTGCGTAAGCAGAACTTATGTATTAATTTGTGTTTCACTAAACTTGCTTAGGTAAGCATTTGTGTAAGTTTCAAATTTAAATGTAAAGTTACACTCATTTATTACTGGCATAAATTGCACCTTCTGTTTAGTGAAACGCAACTAATGTAATTTTACGATTTGCATAAGTCCAAATTTAAGTAAAAAGATACGCAAAACTTACGGAATCTAAGTGAAATGCTTGCCTGATAAATTGATATCTATGTGAGAATTGAATTGTGAAATAGATGTAGCAGAACCATTAACAATGAAGATTTTCAGGGTGAAATAAGTTAATATACAAATTTATTTCTGTTTCTAGCTGTCAAGAAGTTTTCTTAGATCATGTTCATCTGGAGAAGAATATAGCTCGTAACATGGCACTGAGAGAGAATGTTTTCATGATGGTTGTATGTATAGAACTACGTATCCCATTGTTCCTTGTTGGTAAACCTGGAAGTTCTAAATCCCTCTCCAAAACCATTGTATCTGATGCTATGCAAGGAAATGCTGCAAGAGAAGAGCTGTTTAGAGAATTAAAACAGGTAATTTCTCTGTAGTTTTTCTTCCACTAATATCTAAACTCTGTCAGTACACCTTTGATGATTGAGAAAAATTCTTGTATGGAAAGTTTGAACATTGAAGGCCATTTCAAAATCAGAAAAATGGAAAATATTCTTAAATGAGTAAAATTTTAATATATATATAATAAAAGTTAAAATGAAGGTATGTTTACCCTCTTCTCTTTATCTTGGTGTTTGATGTGTTATTCTAAAATCATTGACAGTTTATTTACTAATTAACAGCTTTAAGTAATTTTATTTTTCAGGCCCAGATGGTGTCATTCCAGTGTAGTCCCCTGGCCACACCAGATGGTATAGTTGGTACATTTAGACAATGTGCACAGTTCCAGAAAGACAAAGATTTGGATACATTTGTCTCTATTGTTGTCCTTGATGAAGTAGGATTGGCTGAAGACAGTCCAAGAATGCCACTGAAGGTACACTGCACAAACTAAAATACATCTATATTTTCATCTGTTGTCAGGGCTACAATGCTTTTAACTTAATTGTAAAATTATAAAAGATTGCAAAACACTGGCAGTTTAGCTTGATATAAATAAAGTTTACATGTAGCATGAATGGTTCTTTGATTATTTGGGTACTTGAAAATGTCAGTTTGTTACCAAAATGTGAAGATTGATTGATTCTGTTATTATAATATTTCATTCTAGTTTGACAAAGTTTAGAGAGAAGCTTGTGTGATTTTACCTTAAATATTATATTTTATGTTAGACTTGTACCTACGAGGTAATTTACAAATATTTTGAATGTCATTTAACAACATATTGCTGATGAAATTTTAGTGTAAGTGTTCATTTCAATTTTTTTGTTAGTAAAATAAAATGTTGAATATTTGATATAAAACATTATTCTGTGTTTTATTTACAGACTCTTCACCCTCTCCTTGAAGATGGTTGTCAAGGTGATGAAAAACCAGAAAAATATAAAAAGGTTTGAATACTACTTTCTTTTACTTCATTTTGAATGGATTGTTTCAAATACTTACTCAAATGGAAATTTACTCCAGATTTTCTTCAAAAGCTTATTTTTTTTGGCTGGTACAAGTATATTTTGATATTGTATATATTTAATTTTTGTACTCTTAGTTGAGGAACTTATTGAGTAATATTTTGCTTTTTTTCCACTATCTTTTGTTTTTTTAAAGAAAAAAATAAAAGAGCTTTTAAATGATGTACAAGATCATTATAATGAATACATTCAATGTCGATTAATGTGTTGTTTTATCATAGGTTTTTGGGTAATTTCTGTTCTTATCAGTATGTCTTTAAACTGAGAAAAAGTGATGCTTTTTTCAAGCCTATACCGTAGAACTTCTATGAGTCAAACTTATATTAGTCAATTTTCTCAATACTGTCAAAGTAAAATGAGAGTCCCGAGTTTTACCCCTATATATTCCTTATAAAAACCTATTCGAAATTTTATGTGTCAAATTTTTCGATGTGTCAAAGTTTTTTCATGGTCATATAGAATGAATCGAGTACAATTTACCACAAATAAGTTGAAGTCTTTTGATTTTTTGACACCTTTGATCTAGAGATATTTTTTCACACCTTATCTGGTGGCAAAGACTATTTCCAATCAACTTGGGTGACAGGTGTTAATTACACAGCCGTGTCTGTATGTGTTTAAATGTGTGATAAAATGCTTTAATTGTTACCATGCAAACTGATGTAGTGGTTATTGAAAGTAAACAGTAAGAACTACATGCACTTTCATTGAGACTTTCCGTGACCTGGTGTCGCGTGATAATCACACACCAAATATTTACTAAAAGCTGGTTAAGTTATCGCCCTTTCCTATTGTTACGCGTTCTGTAACTTCCTTGTATACGTCAACAAGTCGAAATTTTGTTATGAAATTGAGACGGATTCATGAGTCGAAGTTCCGATTTGTCGAAGTTTTTACACACATAAGTCCCTTCAACTTCAACTTACCTAGGTTCTACTGTATTTACATTAAACCTACTTAAGTCATTTGACAAAATTATTTGTTATATTACAGGTAGCATTTATTGGTATATCAAACTGGGCGTTGGATCCTGCCAAGATGAACAGAGGAATTCTGGTACAGAGAGAAGTACCTGATATACAGGAACTAGTTGAAAGTGCAATGTATGTTACAATTTTTATTGAAAACAAACATAAATACATAAACAAAACTAATTATAATGCTCTTTATTTACAAAACAGATTAGATGCTATATCAAATAATAATGTCCTGTGACACTCTGCAAACTAAAACTCAACATGGATATTTGATATACAATTGACCTCTGAGACCCGTATTACAAACTTGATGTTAACACTATCTTGAACTTAAACATTCATCACTTTATTGTTAAATGTTCAATGATATTATTCATTTCAGTGGAATTTGTAATACAACAGAAAAGTTAGATAACTTGATCAAACCATTTATACAACCTTTGGCTGATTCCTATCTTGAAATCTTCCAAGAAGCTTCACTGAGTATGAGAGAATTCTATGGACTCCGTGACTTCTACAGGTAAAAATAGCTGAAGTCAAATATTACTCTATATATTGTTGACTTCTTTTCTGCAATTTGTTAAAATGAAAGTAACAGAAGTTTGGTGGTTATACTCCATTGTTGCTCATGCTTGCAATAATATACAGAGAGGCACTGGAAGTTAATCTCAGCCAGTATATAGCTGGTAAATCATTATAAATGACTTTACAGTAACATTCGTTTAATACCCAGTCAAACAATAACAATCACTTTTCTTGAAAGCAAATTTTGTTTTTATTTTGTTATATCCGGAGGCAAACAAATAGTCAGGATCGTGCAGCATCATTATAAGAGGTATATCGTTAGAAGCGATATCGATAAAAGTGGAGTTTACTGTGCTATTTTACTACTACAATAGTAGTAAGTTAGTCATTCAAAAGTATAATATATTAGGAATAAGTGTTATCGAGAAAGTAAGTGGGCTGAGAAAAAAACTGATCACTATCTCCAGCTGCACCATTTTCACATCTATAAAAAAATGATTGGAATGATTATTAACTTCTAGAAAGGATATGTATTAAAATGTTTGTTACAAAGATACTACTTGAAAAGTCACTAAGCAATAATAATTGTTGATTAAGTCAACATAAGTTCTACAATTTAAGACAACCTTTTACAATTTTAGGTAGCTTTGGTTTTTGTTTTATTTCAGTTTGGTTAAAATGGTGTATGGGTTTGTTGAGAAATCAAAACAAAAACCAACTTGGCATGAATTGTTACATTCCATTAAGAGAAACTTTGGTGGACTGGACCAAGTTGATCCTGTAGAAAGTTTCAGAAATCATCTAACTGCGGTCCATTTTGAACAGGAGGTAAAAATGTCTCTTAACCTATTTCTAACATGACCTCACCTTATCAAAAAGTACTCGGAGGAGAACTTTTATGACAGCATATATCGTCCCTGATTTCCTACAGTGTCTTTAAGCAACATCCTGTCTGTAATCACTGAGTAGACTATGACCAAACTTTACAGGAGTAGTCCTTCATGACCTATTACAAACCATTCTGATGCAAAAGTAGGTCACAGAAGTTTTAAATAAACTTGAATAATGAAATCCTGAAAAATTTCTCCTGAAATACTACAGTGTTCAAATATTTGGCATGTAGCATAATTTTTAAAATGTTTATTAACCATGCTACAGAGGTCAAAGTTCGGCTTTGCCTGGCGGTCCCAGGTCCACATAGACTTGTTTAAATTTACTTCTCTGAAACTACATGTACAAATAATAGCATTGCCTATTGCAACTCATCAAATAGTTCCCTGCAAAGAAAACAAAAAAACAATCCATGCCCTATTAGTGTCAAATTAGCCAATCCCTTAGGCCACTTTTTTAACATTATCTTATAAAGGAAATAATCTTTTAAAAATGCACTCCTTAGTAATTACAATGTCCTGAACTTAGAAATTTGTCATGAATCATTGCCTTGTGCACATATGCAAAAGTTACATGAGTTATGGCCATGGGGTTAAAATTTGTTGGCCACAATGTAAGCAATGAATATAATTTGCATTGGAGAAGTATGACCTTTTCTTGCTATTATGGATCTTGGGTGAATATTCAAGGTTTTTTATGAACCTCTTGTGTTTTCCCCCTTTCAATCCTTTTCCAAAAAGACATCCCTACAGGCTCCTGTGGCTGGCTGAGTGTTAAAGTGTTTTCATTTAATCACAGCCACATCGCTGATGTTGGTTCAAAGCCTGTCCGGGCCAATGAACTTTCTCATTAAGAAGCTTCCCTGCCTGGAGTTTATTGTCAGTCAGTGTTTTGATCAATATGCAGGAAGTGATGTAAATGAAATCAATGGTTGGCTAACAGTAAACAATTGGACAGTAACTATCATACTTGTACTGTGTAAATGTTACTTGTAGAAGAAAATACTTATTTTGTACCTTAACATTTTTAAATTTTGAAAACAATTATTTGTTTTGGATGATTGTTAAGCAGTTTAGACATTTTAATATTTCAGCCACAGCCATCTGACCCTGATTGTAGCCCAGCTGGTTTGGTACAAGCATGTCTCTTTGATACAAATAACATGAAAAGGTAAAAGTAAAAGATATTCTGATATTAAGTAATCAAGAGTAAATTTTAGCATTATCTTTTACCAATTGGTGCCAGATGACACCAATTAAGAAACATGCAGAGCCTGGCCAAGACTGTTAATGAAATCACATTTATATGACTGTGTACTTTAAGAAGTCAAATAGAATATTATTAAATACCTGGTAATTAATATTACAGGGAATCAGTCCAAAATTAAAATTGTTTCTATATTTTCATTTTAAGTTATTTGATATTAAGAATCTACATCCCTTAATGCTAGATTTTTATACAATCCCATTTCTGGAAAATTTAGTCTCTGTCCAAAATACTGTTCTTTTAAAGATATATTCTAAATAATGGAAAAATTTATTTTCCTTGGATAGTGAGAGTAGGTACCTGCTACTGTTAACAGAGAATTATGGTACATTAACAATCATACAACAACAGATTCTGTCTAGGAGAGGTGATATCAGACCTATTACCATATTTGGTAGTAGCTTTAGAAGTGACCAGGAATATACACAGGTATGGAACATCAATTTAATATTGACACTTAATTCCCAACTGTTGGTCTTTTAATACCTCCGTTTTCATTAATTTTCTGATCCTTTGGGGATTATTTGACATGGTATACTTGCATTTATTATGGTATTTAATATTAAGTTTTCTTTTTTTATTGTGATGATTATATTTTTTACCTTTATCTCCCTGTTGAAACAATGTTAAACAGTGTTTAATCTTGAGACTTTTGCCAAAGCTTTTGCTTGCATATTTATTTTGGGAATTGAATTCCTTTTAAAACATATTGTAACTACATGATTTTACAGAGGCTAATCCTTTTAGAAAATTTGGTTAATTTTAACTTGCAATCTGCATTATCAGTTATAGTTTTGGATTTAAACTTTGAAGCATCTGTGATTGATTGTTTCACATGTCTATGTTTCGGGATATCCTAAAAATATGTGGACATTTTATTATGTGAAATCAATTTGAGATATTTACAGTATGTGACATTTACACACAGTGATGAAGAAAATTTAATAAATAAACACAGAAAGTTTGATGTTTATAGCTTTACATTACTGCTAAAGGTATTCCTATCTTGTTACAATGTACCAGGTATGTCGAAACATCAACAAGATCAAAGTGTGTATGGAGACAGGGAATACTGTGGTATTACTAAACTTGGAAAATCTCTATGAGAGCTTATATGATGCCCTCAATCAATATTATGTATATTTTGGTGGAGAAAGATATGTTGATCTTGGACTTGGAACACATAGAGTCAAATGTACAGTACACAAAGACTTCAGGTATATATTTTTCATTAAATTATATTGTATTTTTAAAAACTTTGACACAAAAGTTTTATAAATTTAATAGTTATTTCAGGTTATTCTAGTTGGCTGTTGCATGAAGCCTCTGACTTTCTTTTGTATTGTTATAAGCAGAAATAGTACCCTGGTAAAACCACTAATTTCTGGGTGTTATACATGTAGCTTTACATCTTGGAAAAGCCTATCTTCTCAGTTGGTTCAGAACTGATGTTTATTGTGTCAGCCGCATGACCATCCAATTAAACCATTGATGTTTTCCTAATGTTTACATGTACGGTTTTTGAGTGTATTTTTGATTCTTATTAGAATTGATTTTCTTGAAAATTACAGTGAAATAATTACCAATTCATTCCAAATTGTGTATTATCTATTAAATAATTTTCCTATAAAACAATATAGACTGATATAATGTATAATGCTTTGTATTTCAGACTGATAGTGGTAGCAGAGAAACAGACAGTATACAAGAAGTTTCCTATACCTCTCATCAACCGTTTAGAGAAACATTTCCTCACCATCAACACAATGTTGTCACAAGAACAACAACAAGTTGTAGACACGTTAGAGAACTGGGCAAAGGAGTTTGTTAAACAAAGAAATGTTGGTTATGCACATAGGTATAAACACTTCATAATGCATTTTTGAATTCTTATATTGTTTGTCATTTTGAAGTACAGTAAAGACTGTTTACAGTGACCTTCGATGGGAGAAAAGAAAAAAGGTCATTATAGACAGGGAGTCACTGTGGACAGTCTCTGCATAATTCGGATATATGAACATATAATACCAATATTTTGTTGAAAAGCAGGATAGTACCATACTAAGGGTTTAATTATATTTTTATTGATATTAAACATATCAAATATCATTTATAAAAATCAAGAGAGTAATAAAATTGCATGTATAATTTGTTAAGATTATAAACTACACCATAACATTAATTTAGTATTTAAAAGTTACATATTCATTTAAATAATCAGACAAGCCACACAAACACGAACATTTAGTAATTAAATTTAATTGCAAACGTTTCGGCTATATGCCTTCATCAGTGCAAAACATAATAAAATTACCGGAAGCGACGTCATAACGGAACACGTGTAAAACGCGCGAAAAACTTTATGGCGTTTAGCGGCAAAACTATGATAACATGTAGAAACAAATATTTTTGCTATAAATAAAGCTGGTACATGAATTAAAATGGATCAACAATGATACAGATGTCTATTAGACAGTGTTAATAAAAATAAGATAATAGACAAACATATTAATATTCATGTAACGCATTATAAATCAAACAATACTTTATTATTTAGTCCATTTGGAATCATAGTATTTCATTTATGGATCCAAAAAGATTCTTTACATAACCGGTCCATGTTGTTTTCTATAATTTCTATAGGTAAAAATGAAAAATCTGACAATGAACACTTATTATCGTTTGATCCGAAATGGATCGCAACATGTGAAACTGGATTAACGTCACAATTTCTTATATCAAATCTATGTTTATTCATTCTGCATGATACATTTTGATTAGTCTGACCTACGTACAGTGTAACTTCCAAATTCCGGAACTTCTGAAATCCGGAAACTTCTAAAAACCGAACAATTTTTTCGGTCCCGATTTTTTCCCTTCTATTTTTTATTAATATAATACTTCTGAATTCCGGAACTTCTAAATTCTGAATTCCGGACGATATTTTCGTAAAATTAGAGTCAAATCAATGCAATTTTACTTCCAAAAACCGGAAATATCCAAAGGTGTGAAATACATTGTAAATCGAGACTGTTTACCCTGCAGGACGATTTAATCTCCCTATCGATTGTTTACTTATTAGCGGTGATCGTGTAATTTGACACGCGGTAAAATCACAAACTGTGAAATGGTATGTTTGAAGTGATGCGGTTAATCAAAGTAATTTACGACAGTCAGTCAATTTGAAGTGTTTATTAGCGGATTAAATGACAATTAATTGGACAATGTATGCATCAAACGTCTTTAGGGATTTTATTGCATTTGATATAATAATTAATTAAATAGCATCGGACGATATGTAAGTTTATGCAATAATCAACATTTCTACAAACTGATAGAAATTCAAAAGCATTTGCAGGTAAGATAAAAATGTATTCTTTTAATTCACATCTTTATTTTGATTAAAAGACTATTATATATGATATTACAGTAATGGTCACATCTTCCTTGACATTTAGTGATATTAAGTGGCTTAGTCTTGTCCACATTATCATAAACCTCTGAATTCCGGAAACCTCTGAAATCCGAACTTTTTTACAAGTCCCATGGGTGTTCGGTTTTCGGAAGTTACACTGTATTGCTTTTTATAGCCTTTACATGTAATGAGGTAAATTACATTACGCGTAGTACAGTTAACATCATTGTGTAATTCAAAAGAACTACCTGTTATGCTGCTATTAAATTGGGAACCAACAATTATATTGTTACAATCAATGTGAACATCTACTTCGTAAACATTGGCTAGATAAAAATGTGCGATCAAGTAAAGCACTTCTCATAAGATAATCTCGAATGTTTTTAGGACGTCTATATGCTAAAATAGGTTTGAACTTGGTATGTATATTTTTAACGCTTACCTTATCAGACAAAAGTAATAGATCCCAATATTTATTTATTTTTTTTTTTTTTTTTATATTCATTAAAATGTAATTTATATTGACAAATTTGTTTGTAAAAAAATGTTTAATTTCAATTTTACTGATGAGATGTTACTGTAGAGACATTTGATTTTGTATAATCAGCCTGTTTACTTTACGGAGTTCAATGTATTAATAAAACATTAGATATAAATCTTCACACAATTTCTACAGATAAGTGTTCCGAAAAAAATTAACAATCGAGGTTTCAAACATAACCACACCTTTAAGACGTTTAGCATTGTTTATCTTTACTCGCCAAAACACCGCAGCACATATGTATATGCAGGTGTCTTTAATCATTCTATCGGCGAAAATTGATTGAATCTGTCGCCATTTTGTGTAATTGTCAACTAACAGCCACAGTGTATTATAGCGTGTCGCCGATTGGTCAATGCAAACTGCCGTAGACACAACGCGCGTTCTGATTCGTCAATCACATGAATACGTAATGAGAAAAATAAACATTATAGTGAACTCTTGCCTTGCGGCGTGTATTGAAATTTGTTGATGTTGACACGCGTTCTTAATTAGCGGATTAACGGTAATTGGTTGTAATTGAGAGGTTAACAAATTATTAACAGACCTAGCGGCGTAAATATGTATGACGGAAAATTATAAAAATCGGGCGACTTCAAAATCTCTTTGAAGTTTGTTTTAGGCAAAGTCGCTGTTCCGAAGGCGACTTTTTCGCCAAAGTCGTCACCTAGTTCAAGCCTTGCTCCCCTTGCAAAAGTCGCTGTTCACGGCTCAAATACCGTAACGGGTGACTAAATCATGGTCGTTGTACGGACTAGACAGGGAGTCGCTACATACAGACCATTTATATAGTAAATACTGTTCGGCGCACCTAACTATGGTCACTAAAGACAGAACGTCGCTATACACAGGGGGTCGCTAAGACAGTCTTTACTGTATGTTGTGGAGGAATGTGAAAAGCCCTAATTGGTGTGAACATAGATACTGAAATTACCATCATTGGAATACGTTTGGTTCAGTTCTTCAGAATATAAATTGAGTATTGAATCAAACCTATGTACTGTATTGTTAAATGAAAAAGTTTTTATGCTCTTTTACAGGGATACAGATTGTCATGTCCTTTCCTAAGTCACACCTTTTTCACATATCTTTCCTACTCTAATGTCGACAATATCCATGTTTGATTTAAGTGTGGTTAATGCATAAATAACTATAATGTAGCTGACAACTACATAAATGCCTACATGACTGAAATACTGTTGGAATAAGGCGTAAAATGAAACACAAAAAAACATGTCAAATTTAAATCCATTGTTGTAGAAAAATGCTATCCCAAGAATTTTATGAAGAAGGCTGTTTAACCTCATATGACATTTTAAGCATGCCTTTTCATGCTGCAGATATTGTATCAAAAAAAGACTTAGTTGTCATGTCTGTTTAATAGGGGAATAGTGTGAAGCATAGTATAAAGTTAACATCACACATATCCTGTACTACAGACATGAACTATTATAATTGAACTACACAACCTTTAAGAAATTGCTCCACATGACATTTTTTAAAATATTTTTTTGGCATTCTGACTTATTACAGAGGTAAAACAACGGCCACAAAAGTAGGTGATGTTTTTATTGGTTACCATGATGACACATGTTCAGCCATTGTTCTTGATGTTTGGAACGAAGCTAGAACAGAGGTAGTAGATGAAGAAGACAGGCACACACAGGTACAATAAGATAGGCATTGTAGTCATTTATTGTGCCCCCACTTTAGGGGGGGTTGGCATTTAGATTTACCCTTGTCTGTCCCTACTTCCGTCCATCCGTACTCTTTTGTGTTGCAAGATACTCAAATAGTATTTGACCTAGAGTCATGAAACTTAATAGGAATGTTGATCAGCATGTACATTTGTGCACCTGGGTATTTTTGTGTCGATTTATTCAGTATTTTTAGAGTTATTGCCCTTGACTAAATAAAAATTTGCTATTTTCAACTTGTGTTACACGCATCTCAAAAAGTATTTGACCAAGCATCATGAACTTTACAGGAATGTTGATCAGCATGTGTAGTTGTGAACCTGGGTATTTTCGTGTGGATTTATATAGTATTTTTAGAGTTATTGCCCTTGACTTAGTAAAAAATTTGCAATTTTCAACTTGAGTCGCATGTAACTCAAAAGGATTTGGCATAGAGTCATGAAACCTGACGGGAATGTTGCTCAGCATATGTAGTTGTGCACCTTGGGTTTCGCTGGTGGATTTATCCAGTATTTTTAGAAATATTGCCCTTGACTTAGTAAAAACCATTTCATTTTGTTGTGTTATTTGTTCCTTGAGTGCTTGAGTTAGAATCAACCAACTTTACAGGAATAATGATCAACATCACTAAATTACAGGAATAATGATCAACATCACTGTGAAGCTATGCACCTGGGACTTTGCATGTGTATTTTTTTTTTAGTTTTGTTAGAGTTATTGCCCTTGACTTACAGTAGTATAAATTTGCAATTTTCAACTTGTTCATGCATAGCTCAAAAAGTATTTGACTTATAGGCCTGAAAGTTTACAAGAATGTTGGTCAGCATGTGTACTTATGCACCTTGGGGTTTTCTTGTAGATTTATTCAGTATTTGTAATGTTCTTGCCTTTTACTTAGTAAAAGATTTTTAGTTTTCAACTTGTGGCACATGACGACATGTAGTCCAAAAAATATTTGACCTAGTCATAAGATTGACAGAACAGTGGCATGTGGGGGCACCCGTGTCCTATGGACACATTTTATAGTTACTTTTGTGTCACTTGAATGAGTTAAGATCTGGTATAGGGGAGAGCTTTCAGGAGTAATGAAAAGAATAAAAAGGCAACTTTATATCTGCTGCAAAAATTATTGTTTGATTAAGAAAAAACAAAACAAACAAACAAAACACCAAAAAATTTCCAATTGCAAAATGCTTGTGTGAAAGAAATATGGTAATTAATTGCTTCAAAAGCAAATGGCTTATACAAGAAATCATTCCTAAATGGATAAACCCTACATAAAATAGTGGAATAATATTTGTTGCAGAACATTTTATTCTTGTTATAACAATTGTATAATTAATTGAAGAATTGTATAATTAATTGAAGGTTTTACAAGAATCTAAAGCAGTGTTACTATGGTGTGCTACACCAGAATCCCTGATCAGACTGGAACACAGTAGCTTGTCAAACAAGGAGAAAGAGTTGTTGAATGACTGGTACTCAAAAAAACAGCAACATGAAAGCCTTCTACAATATCTTAATATGAGAATTGTACAGCAACAAAACAAGCAACTATTTGCACAGGTAACAGTTTCCAGTATGGCTCATTAAGACAACAAACTTAGATTTATAAATTTTTAAATATTTTTATGGGATAAATAATATTAATAATAATACATTAAGGCCTTGTGAATGTTTAAAAAACTGATTTTATCAACATCCATCTGCCCACTTACTTCAGTTGCTAGAAGTTTATGAAATACCAACTATGCTGCCCTGTTATAACACTTTAATTAATATTATTTTTTGACCTAACATATATGGCAGGGGTATCCATGTCTATTGGCATTTTTTAATTTTAATCATTGGGCACACTGATACTATACAGGTTTTGTTAAATTTAAAGTTTTGCATTTATTTATTTTTTAGATAACAACCCATTCCAAACTGATGGCAGGTGTTCACAAAGGAGAAATCAGTAAAGCCACTGGAATAGATGTTGACAAAATACTCCTGCTAGAAACTCTGTCATCATTTGATACTGAACAACAATTCAGTAACAAAATTCAGTAAGTACCTTTCAAAGTGGTCGCTTTGTCCATCCGTCATAACTCTGACACAACAAGAGGTATCTTCATAAAATTTTGTAGGTGGACAGATCTTATTAGGTAGATATGCAGTGCCAAAGAACTGAAACTCTGCCTTGCATTATTGCCCTTTGTTCATTTTTACACTTGAACTTTGTACGGGACATTACTGTGAAACTACAGGTGGTAGCAACAAGAAACTAAGTCTGTAAATAGATCTCATTGAGTAAAAGTGCAGTGCAGTGCCAAAGTTTGGAATTATTGCACTTTGAAATTTGTCCAGGACATAACTCTGAAATTACAAAAGGTATAATTTTCTGTGTCCAAAACCTATTGGGGTTCAACTGGCTTTTGTTTAAGAAGTTTGTCCATCAAAAGCCTCTTATTATTAGATAGGTTACAAACAGGCAGATGGTGGTAAAACATTTTTTGATTTGTGCAGTGCTTGAATTTCTTAAACAATACAATCAGACTTCCAAAGAATTATTGTCATTAAGTGTCCTGGCATAATTTTTAGCTCACCTGTCACAAAGTGACAGGGTGAGCTTTTGTGATCGCTTTTCGTCCGGCGTCCGTCCGGCGTCCGTCCGTCCGTAAACTTTTGCTTTAAATGACATCTCCTCATAAACCACTGAGCCAATTTCATCCAAACTTCAGAGGAATGTTCCTTTGGTGGTCACCTTTAAAAATTGTTCAAAGAATTTAATTCCATGCAGAACTCTGGTTGCCATGGCAACCAAAAGAAAAAACTTTAAATATCTTCTTTTAAAAAACCATAAGAGCTAGAGCTTAGATATTTGGCATGAAACATCTTCTAGTGAGTGTCTACCAAGTTTGTTCAAATAAAAGCCCTGGGGTCAAAATTGGCCCCGCCCCTGGGGTCATAGATTTTCCCTATATACATATAGTAAAAACTTAAAAAATCTTCTTTTAAAGAACCCAAAGAGCTAGAGCTAAGATATTAAGCATGAAACATCTTCTAGTGAGTGTCTACCAAGTTTGTTCAAATTAAAGCCCTGGGGTCAAAATTGGCCCCGCCCCGGGGGGTCATTGATTTTCCCTATATGCATATAGTAAAAACTTAAAAAATCTTCTTTTAAAGAACCCAAAGAGCTAGAGCTAAGATATTAAGCATGAAACATCTTCTAGTGAGTGTCTACCAAGTTTGTTCAAATAAAAGCCCTGGGGTCAAAATTGGCCCCGACCCAGGGGGTCATTGATTTTCCCTATATGCATATAGTAAAAACTTAAAAAATCTTCTTTTAAAGAACCCAAAGAGCTAGAGCTAAGATATTAAGCATGAAACATCTTCTAGTGAGTGTCTACCAAGTTTGTTCAAATTAAAGCCCTGGGGTCAAAATTGGCCCCGCCCCAGGGGGTCATTGATTTTCCCTATATGCATATAGTAAAAACTTAAAAAATCTTCTTATAAAGAACCATAAGAGCTAGAGCTTAGATATTTGGCATGAAACATCTTCTAGTGAATGTCTACCAAGTTTGTTCAAATAAAAGCCCTGGGGTCAAAATTGACCCCGCCCCAGGGGGTCATAGATTTTCCCTATATGCATATAGTAAAAACTTAAAAAATTTTCTTTTAAAGAACCCAAAGAGCTAGAGCTAAGATATTAAGCATGAAACATTTTCTAGTGAGTGTCTACCAAGTTTGTTCAAATTAAAGCCCTGGGGTCAAAATTGGCCCCGCCCCGGGGATCATTGATTTTCCCTATATGCATATGGTAAAAACTTAAAAAATCTTCTTTTAAAGAACCATAAGAGCTAGAGCTTAGATATTTGGCATGAAACATCTTCTAGTGAATGTCTACCAAGTTTGTTCAAATAAAAGCCCTGGGGTCAAAATTGACCCTGCCCCAGGGGGTCATAGATTTTCCCTATATGCATATAGTAAAAACTTAAAAAATCTTCTTTTAAAGAACCCAAAGAGCTAGAGCTAAGATATTTAGCATGAAACATCTTCTAATGAGTGTCTACCAAGTTTGTTCAAATAAAAGCTCTGGGGTCAAAATTGGCCCCGCCCCAGGGGGTCATTGATTTTCCCTATATGCATATAGTAAAAACTTAAAAAATTTTCTTTTAAAGAACTCAAAGAGCTAGAGCTAAGATATTAAGCATGAAACATGTTCTAATGGGTGTCTACCAAGTATGTTCAAATAAAAGCCCTGGGGTCAAAACTGGCCCCGCCCGGGGGGGGGGGGGGGTCATTGATTTTCCTTATAAGTGTATAGCAAAAACTTAAAAATCTTCTTTGGAAAAACCCAAATAGCTAGAGTTTAGATATTAAGCATGAAACACCTTTAAGTAAATATCTACAAAGTTTGTTAAAATAAACGCCCGGGGGTCAAAACTGGCCCTGCCCCAGGGGTGACATTGTTTTAAACTATATGTGTATAGTAAAAACTTTAAAAATCTTCTTTTAAAAAAGCCAATGAGCTAGAACTTAGATGTTTAGCATGAAACATCTTCTTATGGGTGTGTACCAAGTCTGTTCAAATAAACAAATAAAAGCCCTTGGGTAAAAATTGGCCCGGGGGTGGGGGGCCTATATACAGGTGAGCGACCTCAGGGCCAACATGGCCCTCTTGTTTCTGTTTTTTTTTTACTCGACCATTTGTGGCAGAAATATGGCCATTGGCTGCTTTTTTCACATGTATGTGATATTGGAAGAAAACTAGTTTTTTATGACAATTTCCTGTCACTTGTTTTGATAACAGTTATTACATACATCTTCGAATAGACAGTTTATATTCATTAATTCATAAGAAAGCCCCTCTTTTATATAGGAAGCACATCCAGGGTACAGGAAAAGACCCGAGTCTTATGGTGATACAGTGTGACTCTGGTGATGTGAACGCCAATCTGATAGCGTGTGCTCGCTACTGTGTCATGGATGAGTTGGAGAAGATGCGTAAAGAATTGCAGGCACCTGTACATGTTGTGTTTATTGTGCAGCTCCCTCGAGGGGCCTCATTTACAGGATTTCAGGTAAATTAGTTTATAAATAATCAATTTCTCCCTCAACTAAGTTTTAATCATTTGCCCTACAATCTGAATTGCTTAGACCTTGCCAGGGACATTGATTTGTCTCATGAGGAGAAGGTGGGCTACTGGAAAATCTTTTGCTTACTATGTGCTTGACTGAAAATTTGCACCTGAGGGACGTGTTAGGTCTTCCACTTAAAATGAAATTGGAAGTGTTACCTTAAAGCTGTTGTAATTAGAAATATATTCAGAACAAAATTACAATTATTAAATCTTATACAATTGTAGTGTTTATTACACAGATATTTAAAGTTTGTTGTATTTATTGATTGTATTCATTGTATTGTAGGTATCCTAATTTTACTTCTCTTTACAGTGTGGACTCTGGCACTCCGCACATATAGATGACCTGTATCCTGATTTTATGAACATGCCTACACTACAAGACATGAAAGGAAAATCTATATCTAAACTTCTCACAGATGTTTATGGATCGCCGGACATGAATGAGAATATTCCTCATGAAATGTATGTTAAAATTTTTATGATTTATTCAATAAGTTTGATGAAATTTCCCCAATGTTTCCTACCATAAACTATTCTTGGATGAAATAGGATATTTAGGAAATAGATCTTGCGTGCATTGTTGTACAATGTTGCAGGGTCATTTTATTGCAGTCCCTTCAAAATACTGTAACTTGTATATTAGTCCCCTACCGGTTTACCGGAGGGGACTTTAGGTTTACCTTCCGTCCGTCTGTCTGTCCGAGCAAACATTTGATATTTATGAGCTTCATTCCGTAGTTAAATAAAGAACAAAAGCTCATAAAATTCAAATTAAGAGCTACTTTTTTGATTTTATGAGCTGATTTTGCTTATGGACTTTGGTCCAGGTGTAGTTTATGAGCTGACTTACCTCTTAAATATCAAAAGTTGGTACGTCCGTCCGTCAGTCCACAAAACTGGATCCCGCGATAACGCAAAAAGTACTGAAAATATTTTTATGAAACTTGACATATGGATAGATGGCAGTATGGAGATTATGCACGTCTTTTTCTTTTCTTCCTATGTTCAAAATTCTGGTTGTTATGGCAACAAATAGACTGAAAATATGGCAAATTTTACACATAACCTGGATCCTGCGAAAACGCAAAAAGTACTGAAAATATTTTTATGAAACTTGATATATGGATAGATGGCAGTATGGAGATTATGCATGTATTTTTCTTTTTTTCCTTTGCTGAAAATAGACTGAAAATATGGCAAATTTTACACATAACCTGGATCCAGTGATAACGCAAAAAATACCGAAAATATTTTTATGAAACTTGACATATGAGTAGATGGCAGTCTTGAAATTATGCACATCCTTTTCTTATCTTCCTATGTTGAAAATTCTGGTTGCTATGGCAACAAATAGACTGAATTTCAAGATTTCTTATTCTAGTTTTTAAGTTTTTTCACTATAAGTTCTTATTTCTTAAGGTAGATTCTTCAAACTTTAAATATAAGTTGCTAGTCATCAACCACATCATATTTGACAAAGTTTACAACTCTAGCACAAAATTTATCAGAATTACCTCCCTTGAACTTAAAATTTTCATGAAAGAAATATTGTTTTTTTTAATAACTTCTTTTTTTCTGAATGTATCTACTTCAAACTTCATATGTATGTTTCTTATTATCACTCAACATTTGTGAGAAAGTTCAATACTCTAGCAAGACTATTTCCAGAATTATGCCCCTTTTGAACTTAGACTTTTTTTCGAGAAATTGGTAATATTTACTCCAACTTTTTCAATCATGATAGGATTTTCTTCAAACTCCCACATCATAATAATATGACAAGGTTTATAAATCTAGCATCCATATTTCCAGAATTATCTCCTCCTTAAACTTTTAATTTTTCTTATTCAATCTTTTAACTTTCATTTACTTCAAATTCAAAATAAACATTCATTATTCATACCTTCATTACTAATTGTTCTTTGTTACACTCACATCATGTATGACATCTTGCATCTTTATTTCAAGAGTTATCTCCTTTTTAAAAATTTTGCTTTTAAAAATGTTATATTTTGATAACAGGGATGTTTAAAAAATAACTGTAGAGTGTCCTTCAGTCCGTCTGTCTGTACATAAAAACTGTTTCCTGTGATCACTTTTAAAGAACTTTTTCAACAAATTTACTTAAAATAGAAACATAAGTGAATTGCCAATGGCCCTTCAGAATGTTGCTGGGGTTCTAACCGGTAGGGGACTTATGGATTGCTTGCAATACTATGATAATTGCTTATCTCAGGTTAAAAGAAGCAGAAGAAATTGAATTGACCGAGGCAAAAGAAGGATATGCTGTGCCAAGGCAGGGAATGGATGAAAACTTCATAAACACAGATGACCTAGACTTTGAAAATAAAATGACAAATGTCCCATTACAATTAGATGATGCTGATGAAAGTTTTGATAAAAGTCAACATAGACTGAATGTTAAAGGACTGATATTATCCTGTGTACAGGCAGCATTGTCTATGGTGAAAGATAAGGTAGAAAATACAAATAAAGAAACAGACAGGGTCGACCTGGTTCTGAAATTGCTCCACCAAGAACAAGTTGAAGGTATTTACACAATCATTCATTTAAACTGTAGAAAAAAATTTGTTCTAGATATCTGTTATCTATGCTCTTCTATCATATTTAGCTCTCCTGAACAAAAATTTTCATGTGAAATATTATTTCTGTCACTGTTCAAAACTGTTCACTAGGAGAGAAATGGGTAAGATGACCTGGATAGCTCGTTCTCTAGAGCGGCAGAACAGTATTCAGGCTATCCTGGGATCGATTTCTGGTCAGGCTGCACATTTTTCTCATCCTGTGACATTTGGTGCCAGTAATTCGCCAGATACAGTAGCTCAGTCAATAGACTGCAATGAAATGGTATTCCAAGGGCTTGAGTCCAGATACATTTTTCTCAACCTGTGACATTTCATTGTCTGAAAATTTATTGACATCCAGATGAATGCAGCTTTAACTTTTGTTAATGTGACCAATCATTATAGTTTAACAGACTGTGCTTGTGTCTTTAGATAAAGGTTTAAAGAGTTTGAATCCAGGACAAGTTTTCTGTGACTGTATTATAATCTTATGCCTCTCATTTGCTATTGCTAAGCATAAATATCTTGACAGAATAAATAGACCAAGTCATACTAGTATTGCTTTAATTTTTCAGAACACTAATCTTGTCAGTGAACTTGTTGCCAATCAATGATTAAATTAGGCTATTGTTACAAATTAATCTTAGTCTTAAGCTACTGTTACAAATTAATCGTAGTATTGAGCGAAATACCTTTATCTATCTATAATTTGTCTTATTTTCCCTCTAGGTCAGGCTTCCTTCCTACACGGAGTATGTTGTTTAATAATAAAGCTTCTGAGTGAGAAGGAATCCAAGATGCATGGTGTCCACATGGCACAATATTGGCTGGTAAATGAAGCTGCTTCCAAAGAAAATATCCATAAAGCAGGAACATTTAGGTAGCCATGATTATTCTTGTCTATGAAAAATGTCAATAATTATTGAAGCATTCATATTCATGTATTGCATAAAGATGTTTTAAGTAAATAACTGATTAAAATTTACCAGAGAAGCTATTGTTATGGCCCCTTGTTGGCGTTGGTGTCAGCATCTGCATTGGTTAACATTTTAGTTAAAGTCCATTTTCCTCAGAAAGTTGGTATAAAAGCCATTCACTTCAAACTTGATATACATCTTAATTGTCATAAAAAGATGCCAAAGGGCAATTTTTCTAAATTTAATTCCTATAGTCATGCCCTTTTTGCAACATAGATTTTAGTCTGTTAAGCTTGTTTGCAGAATCATGTCCCCTTTTTTTTGTTTCCCTTTTTCAACTATCCAGCACTGAGAAAAGTGGAGCAGGCTGTCTGCATTTGGCCTTTTTGGGGGTCTACTATTACAATCATGTAAGTTGATCTTTGACCTTAGATGGTCACAATTATTACACGATGAACTCCTGTTAAAACTTTTGCACCCGTGTGAAAGTGTGTGAAATTAGATATTGATGACCTTGATTTAATCCAATGACCAACAAAATCAAGTATGACTTGCATTAAAGTAAATAAATTTTCTTTTATAGCAATGGATAAAGGTCCAACATGGCCCATTTGTTTATATAAAGTACTAATTTTTACACTTTGTTTAGACGTTCATGTGTACAGACCCTTGAGACAAAAATAATTCCAATCTTGGCTGGAGTTATTGCTTATTTGGACACAAATGATAACTTAAACATTTTACAAGAAGATCATTTACAATGGAAAGAGGAACTCTGGTTTACTTACCTGAACACTACAGAAGCAATTAGTCTACAAGTATTTATTTTGTTTTGTTACATTTTTCCAGTAAATGATAAATCTTTTTTTTATAATTGATAGAATATCTTAGATCTAATTTATTGAATTCCCAAAAAACAATACTTCACAGTAACACATTAATAAAAGAAATGTATATATTTATGTAGCATACCCATTGATATTCAGATATCACCATTTACTTATTTTTTGTTAAGCCAAGCAACAGCTATTTTAAATACCAAAATAGCTTGGGATCATGCATTAATTATGCCCCCATTTCGAAGAAAAGGGGGTATATTGCTTTGCACTTGTCGGTCTGTCGGTCCGTCGGTCCGTAGACCAAATGGTTTCCGAGTGATAACTAAAGAACCCTTAGGCCTAGGAACTTCAAACTTGGTATGGTGATTGGTCATGACCAGTAGATGACCCCTATTGATTTTGGGGTCAAGGGGTCAAAGGTCAAGGTCACATTGACCTTGTAGGCAAAAACAGTTTCCGATCAATAACTAAAGAACCTTAAGGCCTAGGAACTTCAAACTTGGTATGGTGATTGGTCATGATCAGTAGATGACCCCTATTGATTTTGGGGTCAAGGGGTCAAAGGTCAAGGTCACATTGACCTTTTGGGTAAAAAGGGTTTCCGAGTGATAACTAAAGAACCCTTAGGCCTAGAAACTTCAAACTTGGTATGGTGATTGGTCATGACCAGTAGATGACCCCTATTGATTTTGGGGTCAAGGGGTCAAAGGTCAAGGTCACATTGACCTCTTGAGAAAAAACGGTTTCCGATCAATAACAAAAGAACCCTTAGGCCTAGGAACTTGAAACTTGGTATGGTGATTGGTTATGACCAATCAGGTGACCCCTATTGATTTTGGGGTTAAGGGGTCAAAGGTCAAGGTCACATTGTACTTGTAGGTAAAAACGGTTTCCGATCAATAACGAAAGAACCCTTAGGCCTAGGGACTTCAAACTTGATATGGTGATTGGTCATGATCAGAATATGACCCCTATTGATTTTGGGGTCAAGGGGTCAAAGGTCAAGGTCACATTGACCTTGTAAGTAAAAACGGTTTCTGATCAATAACTTAAGAACGCTTAGGCCTAGGAACTTCAAACTTGGTATGGTGATTGGTCATGACCAGCAGATGACCCCTATTGATTTTGGGGTTAAGGGGTCAAAGGGCAAGGTCACATTGACCTTGTAGGTAAAAATGCTTTCCGATCAATAACTTAAGAACCCTTAGGCCTAGGAACTTCAAACTTGGTATGGTGATTGGTCATGACCAGCAGATGATCTATTGATTTTGGGGTCAAGGGGTCAAAGGTCAAGGTCACATTGACCTTGTAGGTAAAAGCTGTTTCTGATCAATTAACTAAAAACGCTTAGGCCTAGGAACTTCAAACTTTGTATGATGATTGGTCGTGACCAGCAGATGACCCCTATTGAGTTTTGGGTCAAGGGTCAAAGGTCAAGGTCACATTGACCTTGTAAGTAAAAACGGTTTCTGATCAATAACTTAAGAACGCTCAGGCCTAGGAACTTCAAACTTGGTATGGTGATTTGTCATGACCAGCAGATTACCCCTATTGATTTTGGGATCAAGGGGTCAAAGGTCAAGGTCACATTGACCTTGTAAGTAAAAACGGTTTCTGATCAATAACTAAAGAACGCTTCGGCCTAGGAACTTCAAACTTGGCATGGTGATTGGTCATGACCAGCAGATGACCCCTATTGATTTTGGGGTCAAAGGTCAAGGTCACATTGACCTTGTATGTTAAAACGGTTTCCGATCAATAATAAAAGAACCCTTAGGCCTAGGAACTTCAAACTTGGCATGGTGATTGGTCATGACCAGCAGATGACCCCTATTGATTTTGGGGTCAAGGGGTCAAAGGTCAAGGTCACATTGACCTTGTAGGTAAAAACAGTTTCTGATCAATTAACTAAAAACGCTTAGGCCTAGGAACTTCAAACTTTGTATGATGATTGGTCGTGACCAGCAGATGACCCCTATTGAGTTTTGGGTCAAGGGGTCAAAGGTCAAGGTCAGAACCAGTAGATACTTGATAACCCTTATTAATTGTTTGATCACTGGGTGAGAAGTCATGCATCATAATAACCTTATCACATGACTAATTGGCTGCTGATAGGGGGCATACATGTTTTACAAACATATCTTGTTTTTTATGTATTTATGTTTTTGCAGTACACAGATTTGCAGTCTCCAAAAAGACAGAGTGACCTAACAGAAGTGGTTGTCATGACAACAGGATGTGAAGGTCAAATGTTCAGTGCAAAAATGCCATTTTCCTGGCTGCTGATTAACAAGATCAATGAAATCTTGAAATTACATCATCCAGTGGCAGAGTCACATGACCATGACAGTATAAACTTTATCTAATTTTTAATGCTTAAAGTTCTAGTGAAGCATGCTTATATGTCTACTATGCCATTGAAGTTTCATTTATACACCAACAAATTAAGTTTTAGCGTTTATATAGAAGTGAGCTGGTTGATTTAGTCATTTTTATGATTTCTGGATGATATTATTCTAAGCGTGCTCCAGATTGCTAGGGTCAATGTCACTGGTTAACATGAGTTTTGAATAAGATATTCCTACAAAACTTGGTCTGTATTATGCTGATGTGGTGACCTCATTTGGCATTGTGGCCATCCTAATGTCAAGGTCATTGTTTCTAAAAATAGAAAAAGGGTTTCAAGTGATAAATGGAATAAGAATGAGATATTGTTATCAAACTTGGACTATAACAAACTTGTCAGGAGAACTTGCTTTTAGGATTGGGTTTGGGACACTCATAGGCCATGGTCATAATTTGCAACTTAAAAAAGAAAAAGGTTTCAGGTTGGTAACATAGAAGATGTTGAATCAATTTAAGTTTAATACTGAATTATTGAATGACAAGTCTTTACACTACGTTTATTCAAAGATGATTGCAATAATATTTTGTACAGAGTAAAACACCATTAAATACAGGTCATTTTTTTTTTTTACAATCTTGTTTAACCTCTTCCCTACCTCTCTTTTGTTTTCTTCTATATTTATACAAAAACATGGTCTCCAAGTGACAAAGCAATGAATTGATGCAGTTTTTATAAACCTGTTTGAAAAATGATGGAGGAGTGTCGCATTCAAATTACAGGTCCCATCATCTAAGGTCAAGGTCACATGTAGGGGTCAAGTTCAAATAAAAATATGAAAATGTGTACAGGGACCATTTATTGTAACACAAATGGTCATTATCATGACAACATCTGTGACACTTGTAATTTAGGTTCATATAATGCAAGGTCACTTAAGATGATGAAATATCCAGATTTTGTCCAGTGCATATCTCCTTCAGCATGGAGGGATTATTATGAAACTTCCAAAAAATGGTCACCACTTTGAGAAGCAGTGCTGCGCACATGAACCAGATTTTATCGTGACAGGTCTAGATCACACTTAGAGGTCATTAAAAAAAGCTTGTCCGGAGCAAAACTTCTACATGCATGAAGCGGATTTAATTGAACTTGGCGCAAATGTTCATCATTGTGAGGCAGAGTGTCAGGTGCAAAATTCAGGTCCCTTAGTCCAGTCACACATTGGGGTCAAAGTTCAGATAGAAATATGAAGATGTGTAAAGGGACCATTATTTTAGTCATCATTTATTGAGGGATTTTAAAACAAATGGTCATTATCATGGTGACTGTCATGGCACTTGTATTTTAGATCAAATTATGCAATGAATATTTCTACTTATTTTTTCCTAATGTTAGTAATGAAATTTACAATTTTGTGCATAGGTGTTGATCAAGCCAGGGCAAAAACAGAATCTTCAGTGAAGGTATTGAGTGAGCATGCACTGGGTAAAGTATTGACTTGTATATCTGAGGAACATGATGTAGCAGATGCTGTACAAGAATATATCTATGACTTTGTCCACACCATGTATAGAACTACGTCAGATCATGAACAACAGGTATGAAAATATTGTTCTGACACTTTTTCTGCATTTTTTGCATGCAGTATATGCAAACAACAGTCTTAACATCAACAGAGAAGTGTACAAACGTTCTTTGTAGGGTGCTTATATGTGTTGCTTTGTTTCATCAATGCACACATCATAGGTATTCTGTCTAATTTAACTTCATTTGCATATGCTACCAGTTTTGGAATTTTTAGTTTTTAATGTTTAGAAAGTTTTCATACATGCAAGTGTTTACATTTGTGATTGCATAAGGATGTGTTTTATAAAATCAAGAAGACTTGACAGTTAAAAGTGGTTGCTCATTGAAAAGATAGATCAAATTAAGCTTACTTTTTAATGGTCACAACAAAAATGAAGAATGAAAATGACCAGAAGCATTATTTAATGGTCACAACAAAGATGAAGAATGAAAATGACCAGGAGGATTTTAAAGGGGCAGCTTAAATAAAGTTTTCACTTGGGCATGTTAGACTGTATTAGGTTTTATCATGCTTTATCTTTTTACAGTTGGTATGTCAGTCAGTGTTGTATTTAACCACTCAAATGGCAAACAACTTACCAGAGAACTCCCTGCTACATAGTTTAGTGACTGTGCATATTGCCTACCAGAAACTTGCACCTAGACTGACTTACTTCAGGGCTATGAACAGTGTATGGCCAGAATGTAGTACCACTATTGTAGACTTGAAAACCAGCAAACCTGACCATTTTATGTTCAAGGAACAGGAATTTGTAAGAAGATTTTTAATGCTCAAACTTCTTGTATAGCTATCATTAAAGGAAATCCACTGAGGTCCAATAGCCTAAAACAATAAATTTTGAAATTCTTTCTTAAATCAACTGGTACATTTAAATTTGAAACCAAGCAATAGATGATATATAGATATACATGTTATAAAATTGATAATCAATGTTTATGCAATTTTTGGCCAATTTGAGTGAAAAGCGTTTAAACGGTTTTCATTTATTGGGCCAATTTTTACAATGAAATTGATTATTTCTGGGAAACAGAGTGAGCAAATGATCTGAAATTTTGTACATGGGTTATTGGTCTAGACATACAACTGAGTTATACAAAAATCTTGAAAAAATATTTTCGGTCCCTTCACATCAAAAAACCTTGGTGGAGTCCCTTTAAGTTAATTATTGTAGCAGTCATCAAGGAAAATGATGGTTAAAAAATAACATTATAATATGCTAAATTAAGAATGAGAAAGTACAATTGCCGGATAGTCATAATGGAGGCATTTTTAATCAGGGGTTTACTTAAGGTTTTGACTTTCACTTGCCCGAAGGGCAAGTAACTTTGAAAATCTACTTGCCCCCAAGAAAAACAGGTTGCCCGATCTTAAATGTGAAGATTGTTAATAATCAAAGCAAAAATTATGGGTAAAATAAGATTTATTGCAGATCCTATCAACTTATGCCTCAGATAGTAAAATAGTCCTAAATTCCCTACTGTATATGTTTTTTTGCTTGTCAACACAACTGTCTTTGCCAGGGATCCAATAGAAATCCCTGAGATTAAATTTAGAAAAACTCCTAAATGTCAGGGATTCCTCACATCAAAATAGTAAAATGAAAATGAAGATTAACAATAGTCGTGATCTGTTAAGGCTTATAAAAATTACAGGTAATAATTAGGCCCTATTCCAGGTGACTTTTAAAATATATTAACATTCAGATGCTATCACCTTAAAAATATTTATTCCCAATTACAACTTTAAAAAGGAAACAGTACATTGATTGTTGAAAATTGTGATAGGATTTAAATGTTTATCGTTGATTTCAAACAATGTAAAATATCAAAAATATGTTTGCTTTGTTTGCATTACCAAACTAGCTATGTACCTTTCAAATTTATTTCATTTTTAAAAACAACAAGTTGCTCCAAGTCCATGACAGGATGTGTTATACTCAATTTAAATTGATCTGTCTGATTCCTATCCTCCCTGTGTGTATTGAAATTTATTTGAAGTTTTAACCTATGTCACATCAAAGGGACTCATCGCATGCAGTAATCATACAGTTCAGAGCACTGACTGGTTCAAAGAACTGTCAGACGAAATATACGTCATTTGCTGTATGTTTCACCTAAGGAGGTTTTTTTCTGTTTTGGTCGTAAATTAGGCATGACCTAGATTGACCTCAGATGACTTATAGTTACACAATATGCTGTGATTTACCAAAAAGGATTTTAAACATTATATGGATTATTTTATTCTGTTTATTAATAGATCTAGAATATTTGTAAACATTGCTGTAGGGGAGAAAGGAAAATAAATTAACAACAGTTCAAGACTATTATGATTTTTCGTCAAGATTTGTGTAAAAAAGATTACTGGTGACGAATTTTAAAAAAATTCTATAGGCCTATTGCAAATGAGTTGACGACGCCAGTTAGTTAAAGAATGACCGTACGAAGAAAAAAATAGCGTACAGGATTCAAAGGAGTAGATTTTTACGGCCTGATTTTTCTGTTCTTTCTTGAACCTTGCAGATGTGTCAGTCTTTATTGACATAACTCATCTTGAATTTTTGTGATTTTATGCTATTTATTCAGAAAATCAGATGTTTTCTTTGCCGTGGCTTTTTCTTTAATTGCTGTAGACTTTTTTCTTTTAAAAATGGGAAAACTTTCGGCGCCGCCCGCCATTTTGAAAATAAAGCAAAATGGAAAAAGTTTTTTTACGTTATTTGATTGGTTGATAGGAGTCCAACTACAATCAGAAACAGTTAAAAATACTGGTTGGGGAGATAACTTCGGCTGGTTGATAAACTCGGCTTTTTATAATTAAATCGAGTTATCAGAATTTTTAATCTAATCAAGCTCACCATCTCATACTATCGGTGGAATTCGACAATATCTGGAAATTTTGTCAAGTTTGGTAAGATATTTAAAAAATAAGACAGACTTTTACCTGTTTGTTTACAAAACATGGCTATAAAAAGTACGGGAATCCCATTGTTGTGCGCATGTGCAGCAGATGCTCATTTTGAGGCCGGCATAGGGGTACTTTTATATATTGACCGTTTACGTATACATTTTGTAGATGAAATTCAGACTCACTTTTGTCTTGCTAACTCAGAAAAAAGGCTGATTTCACAATTGTAATCTTTGAGTGGAATGGAAGTGAATTGGAAGACTGATGTTTAATGCTCCTTTTATATGTTATAAAGTTGAATAGGTACCCTAAATTAATTTCTTCTTCACTCTGTTAAGCTAAGCAAAAATAAATTTGAATAACTAATTCTTTAACTACATATTTCGTTGTACGTTAATAAATGATAATGCATGTGTTTTTACGTAAAATGATTTATATGTTACATAGTACGTTGCATATAACTATCGTGTTATCAGATATTCATTATAGGCTTCTTACGTAATGCTCAACAATTTTGGGAACAAATATTTTCTATTTGACATAAATGAACAACAAAGAAATAATAAAATGTCTAAACATAATATTTTACGTTTTAACTTACTCATTTAAGAAGAAAAACAAAGAGCCGGAATTATCTACTCGCGTGTGTTCAAAATATCCTTTTTACGTACCTCTTCCAGGGCCTCTCAAAATTACCCGTTATGTTTCTAAATATAACTTTTATGGTGATACCGGAAAATCGAAGAGCTGAAGTTTATTATGGTGCAAGATTAATTTAATACGTAAACAAATAAATGAAATATGCCCCCAAAACACTGATTTTCGGCCGAGTTTATCTCCCAAACCAGTACACTTGTTTGACTGTAATATGAACGGAAAGAAAAGTATTATCGGCGAAAGATATCAAAGATAATAGAAGGCATAATGAAAATTCACTTGCCCGCAGGGCAATTTGCTTTCAAATTTCACTTGCCCGCAGCGATTTCTACCCGACGCGGGCAAGCGGGCGTCCGCTTAAATAAACCCCTGTTTAATGTAAAAAAATATGCCTTAAATGCTATGAAATTAACCGTTTGTGTTGCTATATGGCATAATTTCAAGGAAACTGCAATACGTATATTTTAACAGTACTTCTTTTACTTCATACTGTATTTTTATAAGCACAATGAAAATGACTACATTTGACGCTGACGTGGGCCAGCAGATGGCAAATTTATGTCTAAATGGTGTACCAAGTATTAGTGAACATTCATTAGAACTCTGTTGAGTATTTTGTATTTATACACAGAGGCCTCTGTGGCAGAGTGGTTAAGATTGTTGACTTCAACCCATTGCCCCTCACCGCTGTAGGTTCGAATCTTGACAGGGACTTTGTATTTTTTATGTGAGGAAGCTATCCAGCTAGCTTACGGAACGTCGGTGGTTCTACACAGATGCCTGTTATGCCTGAAATAATGCACAGAAGAGCACCCAAGGTCTTCCTCCACCAGTAAAGCTGGAATGTTGCCATATGACCTATACTGTGTCGGTGCAACGTAAAACCCAATCAAACAAACAAAACAGTATTTATACACTGTTGTCCATGACTTCTTTTGACTGCATGATGAACATGTAATGCAATATCATCTTTCAGACATTCTCTGCCTTATGCTTGCTCCTTGAGAATCTATCCCCCAAAGGTACAGATCTTAACAATCTTCGAGGACGTTCTCATTGGTTGAGTAGGGTACATCGTTACAGGCCTGTTGTTGAGAAAGTTATCAGTTTACACGCTGAAGATCCAACATTGTATGGTGCTCATAGTATCCAATCTGTGCGTAGAGCAAAGTAAGTACTAGTAGATCAATGGAGTCATTTTAGTAGCTGAGTTTTAGATGCATTATTAAAAATATAAAAGAAAAGCTTGAAAACCAAAACAAATTCTTCTGTTATCTAAAATTCTCAACTGTTATTTTTATAAAGTCAGTTCCTTAAATGTCAAAGTGCATTAGTTAATGTAAAATTTGTGCAAATGGATCAAAATACATTTTTTTAAAATTTCATATTTTTAACTCGACTATTTGATAAGAATAAGTAGAGCTATTGTAGTCACCCGAGCGTCGGCGTAACCACTTATGTTAAAGTTTTTGTAATAGTTCAAATATTTTCAAAGTCCATTGACATATGGCTTTAAACCTTGCACACTTGTTCACCATCATTACCCCAACCTGTAAACAGGAGGATGTAACTGTATCAAGCATTTTGACAGAATTATGCCCCTTTTTCGTCTTAGAATTTACGTTAAAGTTTTTGTAATAGTTCAAATATTTTCAAAGTCCATTGACATATGGCTTTGAAACTTTGCACACTTGTTCACCATCATTACCCCAACCTGTAAACAGGAGGAGGTAATTGTATCAAGCATTTTTTTTTACTATCAAGCACTAAGAATAGTCGAGCGTTGCTGTCCTACCGACAGCTCTTGTTTGCATATCATAAATTTGTTTAAATTCTGATTTCATATTATTTTAGATTTACTACCACATAATCTTATATCATTTTTATGGAAAGAACCTGTTTATTTTATTGACATTTCATCATTTAATGCGGTTATACAACAGTGTCAATAAAGTAAACAAATTATCACTCGGGCAAACTGCAAGTTTCATAGACCAAATTCCAAGGTACTTTCATTTTTAAATTAAGATACTCTCTTAAACCACATCAAAATATTCATTTAGCCCAAGAAAGAAGAATTGTTATAGAACACTTAAAAGTCTTATAGACCAAGTGAAGGTATCCATATAAACCAATATCAAGGTACACCTATGGACCAAGCTAAATATACCTTATAAGCAATATCAAGGTACACATATGGACAAGGCTAAATATTCCTTATAACCAATATTGAGGTACACTTATGGACAAAGCTAAATATTCCTTATAACCAATATCAAGGTATAACCAATATCAAGGTACACTTATGGACCAAGCTAAATATTCCTTATAACCAATATCAAGGTACACTTATTGACCAAGTTTAAGTATCCATGTAAACCAGTATCATGGTACATTTACCGACCAAGTTCAACCAATATTAAGATACACTTATTGACCAAGTTAAAGTACCCTATAAACCAATATTAAGGTACATTTTATTGACCAAGTTCAACCAATATTAAGGTACACTTATTGACCAAGTTAAAGTACCCTATAAACCAATATCAAGGTATACTTATAGACCAAGTTAAGGTATTCTTATAAACCAGTATCAAGGTACACTGATAGACCAAGTTCAGGTATCCTTATGAACCAATATCAAGGTACTCTTATAGACCAAGATTAAGTATTATTACAAACCTGAATCGAGGTACTCTTCTATATCAAGACCAAGGTGCTCCCTACACCAAGATTATAATATTCCCACACACCAAAATAATGGTACTCTTGTACACCAAGAATAAGGTTCTCTTGTACACCAGGGTCAAGAAGCTCTTAAGTCACCCAGGTCAAGGAACGTTAATTCACCAAGAGCATGGTACTCTTGTACACAATGATGAGACAATATCAAGGTACCAAAATCAATGTACAATTATAGTAAAGGGTCAAGAGATTCTATGAGTAAAAGTTCAAAGTACTGTTGCAAAGTTACTGTAATGTTTATAAATATATATTTTAGGGGACTATGGAGTAGAGTGATGGTTGTTAAGTTATTTCTGGAACATGTCTGTGCATTTGAGAGTGAAGACAAGATAACCATCAAACATTTTATGCCATTATGGAAGGTTAGTTCATTGTATTCCACTATGGGCTGTTATTACATAAGATTACCAACAAACATATAATTCTGTGGGCTGTAAGTACATTGTGTTCCACTATGGGCTGTAAGTACAAATGTTAATTCTACTTTTAGCTGGAAGTAAATTGTATACTGCACTGTATTATAGACTGTACAATGAATGCCACTATTGGCTGTATAAAAGTATTTATTAACCTGTCAGCTTAAATATTATCCTCTGTGGATGGAAATCAGATTTGACTGGTGTATAGTACTGTACCATTTTATGGTATTGGATCTAATTATGCAATATAAAATTAATGCAATACTGTAAAACAATTAATTTGTATAAACATTTCTATGTTGTGTCATACTGGTATTGGAAGATTTAGTCAGTAAATGTTTCATCAAATAAAGAGTTCCATTTAACTGAGTTCAATAGCATGAAAGTTGATACTGATTTATGAGCACTCAAATTATTTATTAATTAAAACATAATTTACAAAATGTTATGGAATGTTCAAAATAGGTAATGTATTTTGCCATTTTACAATTTTTTCAATAGATCATCAAATGTGTTTTCCCATAGTTATTTAAGTTTCCCTTGATAAAATTTATTGTTTTGATTGTTAGATACTTGGTGAGGAGGCAAATATGAAGGAGAAGAAATCACTAGAAGATGTTGAAAAATTCCTCAAAATATGTAATAAACAGGCTATGAAGGAATATATTGGGTATATATAACTGAGTTTTATATCTTTTATCTTTTTGATTCAAAAAATAACTCAGGGTTGCACAGACATGGGAATACAGTAGGAAATATCTAATACATGTAGAAATATTACAGAATTTCTAAAATTTAGTAAGGAACATCTAAAATCTACCAGGAAACTATATTATTTTTGCCATGAAAATGTTCCAGTGTCAGACATTACCTTGTGAAGTAATCATGAAATTTAATATAAATGGCAATTAGTTCATTACCAAAATATTAAAAGAATGCTTTCATTCAGGGTGAAATCTTTTAAGGATGATTACTTTTGAATTTAGTTTGTAAGTAGTAAGTTTCTTCTCTGCTGAGATTTTGCTATTTTCACTCGGGTATATAATTATCAGATTTTATAAATCTGTGATTTCAGAGATGCATTAAAGTGTTGTGATTGTGAAGCTGTATTAGAGGGACCACCCATCACATTACCTTGTCAAGATATTTTATGTAACCAATGTTACGCTATGATGAAGGTGCATGGAGTTAGTGAATGTGCAAAATGCTGTCAACTTTTTAATGAAAACTGGGAACCAGTGCACCAAACAGAGAAAAAGTATTTTATATTTTGAATATATATATATATATAAGTTATAATTATATTAATATAAATAATGGCTTAAGAATATATAAATAATGACTTAGAATAATAAATGAAATTTCAGAAAAATACAGATGTTCCAAAAGAAAGTCAATGTAGTTAGAGCAACTATTAAAGATCATATTTAGAATAACATCTAGCAGCTTTATACATGTACTTAAAAAGAATCTTTTGCAATCTGATAGAGTATTGAATAAAGCTCATGAAAATGGATTGAATTATATAACATTTGTTAGAAGGAACTCTCATACAGTTGTCTGCAAGTGGTGTTTAATAAGTGTTTTGATTATTCATAAACAAATCTTATTTAATAACTTGTCTCTTGAAAAAGGAACAGTAGTTTTTGTTGACAGATAATCTTAAATTACAAATTACTTTTTACCTATAAAAATCAATGTATATAAGCCTCACCTGACAGATTTTTCTAATCTTGTATTGTTTGTATTCGATTTTGCTCAGGTATGGCAGTAGATTCCATTTGCATTATCTGTTGAATGCTATATTTTTTTATAAGAAAAATGTAAATGATATATGACAACTATAAGGTGTTTAGGATAATACTCATGTCAATCATTTACATTCTTATAATATTTATTTTCAGAAATGACATAGAGAAACTGAAAGGCTATCAGAAAAGATGTAATACATTTTTCATGGATGTTGTATCTCAGTTGTGTTTTGCTGATAATACAGCTCCATCACAAGAAGTTGTTGAAAAATTGTTGAGCTATATATTCTTCACAACAAGAGGTGGTGATCATCAACGTACAAGAGATCTGTCAATATTTAACACAGGAATTGATCCTACCCCAGTGTTTAGATCTTTCCTTCTACAACTTCTTATGAGAACAAGGTATTTCCTGAATTTATATATTTCATATGACTTATTTTGTAAAGATTAACATGATGTACTGTGCCCCATAGGCATGCTTTCAATTTAATAGATTAGCAATCATTTTAAAGTAATTTATTTTTTGTTTCTTTTATATTTATGTGTCACTTCAGTCTTATTGATTACTGTTTATGATTGTTATTTTGTAGTGCAGATAATGTGAAAGAAAATCTAGAACATTATTTAACTCAAGCCAAAGATTTGATACAAAAGAATGCAGATGATGAAGATGAGCAGTATGTTGAGCTGTGCTTGCTTGTTATACAGTGTCTAGAGGTAAATGAACAGTATGTTGAGTTGTGCTTGCTTGTTATACAGTGTCTAGAGCTAAATTGGCAGTATGTTGAGCTGTGCTTGCTTGTTATACAGTGTCTAGAGGTAAGTGAACAGTATGTTGAGTTGTGCTTGCTTGTTATACAGTGTCTAGAGGTAAATGAACAGTATGTTGAGTTGTGCTTGCTTGTTATACAGTGTCTAGAGGTAAATGAACAGTATGTTGAGCTGTGCTTGCTTGTTATACAGTGTCTAGAGGTAAATCAACAGTATGTTGAGTTGTGCTTGCTTGTTATACAGTGTCTAGAGGTAAATGAACAGTATGTTGAGTTGTGCTTGCTTGTTATACAGTGTCTAGAGGTAAGTGAACAGTATGTTGAGTTGTGCTTGCTTGTTATACAGTGTCTAGAGGTAAATGAACAGTAAATTGAGTTGTGCTTGCTTGTTATACAGTGTCTAGAGGTAAATGAACAGTATGTTGAGCTGTGCTTGCTTGTTATACAGTGTCTAGATGTAAATTGGCAGTATGTTGAGCTGTGCTTGCTTGTTATACAGTGTCTAGAGGTAAATGAACAGTATGTTGAGTTGTGCTTGCTTGTTATACAGTGAACAGTATGTTGAGTTGTGCTTGCTTGTTATACAGTGTCTAGAGGTAAAAACACATGCTGATTATAATAGTGTAGTTTATGAGTACATAACAACTATGAATACAACATCTGACATCAATATTTTGGCTCAGAGGTCAAGACGGATTTGTCTATTTGGAAGGAAAATTTGAGTTATAAAATGATCATATGATATAATATACCCCTTTTTAACTCGGTGTTTGTCAAAATTGACTATTGAGAGGGATGATTTCAAAAGTATGAAATGCTGTTTTTTTCTTTTTGACACTCAGATGCTATACCCAAAGCAGTTGTTAGTAATTACAAATAAAATTTATGAGATTTGTAAAATTAATTGATTTTATATAAGAGTACATGTATGTATAGGACCTTGAGGTAGAAACATCAAAAAGAAATTGATAAAAGAAATATTATTTTTTTATATTGTAGGACATGTATACCCAAGAAGCATCTAGAGCAGATGTTGATGAAATAAAATATGCATGTGATGCATTACATCGAGCCAATCAAAACATTACAATGGAAGGGCTTAATGTAGAAAAGCTATACGGATTGGCTAGTGCTAGAATGGGCCTGGCTATTACAGCAAGATGTGTGGCTGAGATTGTCATGAATAATATAGATCCAAGACATGTTGATAGAAGAGTTAGAAAACTTATAGAGACTGCTCAAATACTGTATGAGGAAACACATGTGAATTGGACAAGGTTAGAATGCATTCAATAATAATAAATGTTAACAATAAATGATTTGATTTTATAGTTATATCTATATAACTGAATTGTATTTTTGATTGTTTATTTGATGTGTTACGTGTCTGTTTGTGCACCATCTCATGAAAATCAATGTTTTATGTTGAGCTTTTAGCGAAAGGGGACTTTCGGTTGACAAGGGGATATTCCTTGAATGTACTAGTCAGATTTACTTGTACGCCTAGTTTTAGGGTACCTGGAAAAGAAATGTTAACATTTTCATTTGAACCTATTGTATGATGTATATAATGTAATGGTGATATACAAATATGGAAATAATGATTCAATCTTTTCCTATTTTTTTCTTGATTTTAGGAAATACCTGGTGAAGCACATATGTAGATGCTACAGTATTGATGTTTATTATAAAGTTTGTCAAAATCCAGCACCATTCCTTAGATGGATCAGTATGAGAGATGTTAACAGTGATCAGGTATATGATATTGATGAGCTTTTGGAAATTGTTCTGCTTGGTTATAGATATTGATTTACTTTTAAGCTATTGAACTTCAAGCCAACTTTGATTTTAATATTAGTATAACAACTTATATTAACAACTTATGTTAACAACAAAACAGAAATTTGTTGATCCTGTCTTTAAGCCTGATTCCCTAAAATCATTGAAATTAGGATTAACGCCTGCAGTAAACAATATTACTAATAAGTGCACACTCACTGTCATTATAGTAAAAGAAACCCTCTGGGGTCTATTTGTATTGCACACCTTATATGGAAATATTGTGTAATATTTGATGTAACATTTACAGGTTGTTGAAGTATCTGATAGATATATTGTATGTGGAGATAATTATAAAAGAATCAGAGAGGCTATAACAAAGGTTATCCTTGGTGAAAATGTTGAACATCTTTTTGAAACTGTACAGGTACGATTTCCTTTTATATTTTGTTCTCTGCTAAGTAGTACTGACATAAGCAAAATAGGAAACTGAACTATACCATTTCCTTTACACAGAAATGACAGTTATCCTTGGATTAAATGAGCAGAATCTTTTCTCACAAAGTATAAGTCATATCATCTGTGTTGCATTATCATATGCATACATTTTTCCAATCTTTGTTATGTTTTAGTTTAAATTTAAATAATAATTTGCACCTAGTCATTTTATGCAGTATACAGAATTAAAAGTTATTGTTATAATGAATATAGCATGCTAGTATTTATCTTTCTTAGGAGCTTCAAGCTGCAGGAGTTAGAGTAGAGCTGATGTTACAGCTTGCTGTACATAGAGAAATTACAAGCTCATATATATACCCACAACAACAGAGGAAACTAAAGGCACTGGTATGTGTAATTATTGTATTCAACACATTGTAACCTTTATAATTGTTATGTATGTTGTAAAACAATAAATACCGGTTTTATGTTGTCTAATTGCAAAGTGATTGCTTTGTACATATACTATGTTAAAGCAAAACTGACACTAATGATGGTAAGTTCTGCAACATGGAAATGTTAGCAATTTATGCTAGATATGTATTAGCCAGTGAAAATTTAACAACCATAGTCCAAATATCTCTCAGTATGTTTTAGACAATTTACTATTTTCCCACTTGATAGTCATTCCTTAATATGGACAAAAATCTGCTTATGTAAAGTGAATTACTGTCTGAGTATAGACTAGTTTGAATTTATTAATATTACCTGTAAATTGTATTGGCTTTCCTGCATAGCTTAATATTGGAGTGTAGATATTTTGACAGGTGCTTGTCAAAGTACCTGACCCTAGTTAATAACCTATTTTTGAAATATGATGTTAACTTTGTTGTCATTACCAAGGCAACTTGCTGAAACCTGGCATCATTGGCATACACATTTGTAAATAGTTTCAACAGCCCTAGTGTCTGCTAATCATAAACATTAGATGTTTTAGAACATATGTTGTTAAAGCCAATCAGTCCATTACTTAAGCTGTGTAACTATTTTATTTACGACAGAATGTCAATTACTAAGTAATTTTTGGGCAGACATGTCATCAGCTATGTGGTTAGAAAATAATCATGTGATTTTCAGTAAATAGAAATTACTCAATGAATGAATAACTGGATGCTGTACAAAACAAATTGGCATGAATAAGTATTAAAAGGCATAGGTTTTCAAAAAGAGAATGACTGTAATATTCATAAAATAGTAAATTTGTGTACATGTTAGATTGTTTTATCATTGCAGGCCATGGAAACTCTGGATATATTTGCACAAGAATGTGAGGCAGTAAAAAATAAGGTTTGAAATTTTAGTACTGTATCATTTATTAGTCCTCTACCGGTTTAACCGGAGGGGACTTTAGGTTTACCCTCTGTCCGTCTGTCTGTCAGTCCGTCCGTCCACAAAACTGGATCCCGCCATAACGCAAAAAGTACTGACAATATTTTTATGAAACTTGATATATAGATAAATGGCAGTATGGAGATTATGCACATCTTTTTCTTTTCTTTCTATGTTGAAAATTCTGGTTGCTATGGCAACAAATAGACTGAAAATATGGCAAACTTAACACATAAACTGAATCCAGTGATAACTCAAAAAGTACTAAAGATATTTTTATGAAACTTGAAATATGGGTAGATGGCAGTCTGGAGATTATGCACATCTTTTTTAACCAGGTTTTCCGAAGGAAAAAACTGGTAATTAGATTGAGGTATGTCGGCGGGCGGGCGGTCGGCGGGCGGGCGGACGGGCGGGCGGGCGTAAACAATTTCTTCTGTGCGCAACTCCTCCTACATTTCTCAACGGATTTTGACCAAACTTTCACAGAAGCTTTGTCATCAAGTGCCCTGGCGCATATTGTCGGGGTTTTGCGATTAGATAATATTTGACCTAATTATGGCCCTTTGTTTTTTTTTCCTTATATAAAATATATAGTGAACAATTTCTTCTGTGCGCAACTCCTCCTACATTTCTCAACGGATTTTGACCAAACTTTCTCAGAAGCTTTGTCATCAAGTGCCCTGACACATATTGCCAGGGTTTTGCAATTGGTATATATTTGACCTAATTATGGCCCTTTGTTTTTTTTCCTTATATAGAATATATAGTGAACAATTTCTTCTGTGCGCAACTCCTACATTTCTCAACGGATTTTGACCAAACTTTTCTTAGAAGCTTTGTTATCAAGTGCCTGGCACATATTGTCGGGGTTTTGTGATTGGATAATATTTGACCGAATTATGGCCCTTTGTATATTTTTTCCTTATACAGAATATATAGAGAACAATTTCTTCTGTGCTCAACTCCTCCTACATTTCTCAATGGATTTTGACCAAACTTTCTTTGAAGCTTTGTTATCAAGTGCCTGGCACATATTGTCGGGGTTTTGTGATTGGATAATATTTGACCGAATTATGGCCCTTTGTATATTTTTTCCTTATACAGAATATATAGTGAACAATTTCTATAGTGCGCAACTTCTCCTACATTTCTCAATGGATTTTGACCAAACTTTCACAGAAGCTTTGTCATCAAGTGCCCTGGCGCTCACTAAATTCCCATGTTTCTTCCAAGACATCATTCAAGTATTTTTTTAAAATTGTGAACATACTTTTCTTGATATCGCACAAAACACCACACGCCAATATTGTTGACAAAAGAAAATGACAAGAGACGCAGAAATGCAAAAATTAAGCAAAAATAAAGTACTGTTTACCTTTCTAAAACATTTGGGAAAAAAAGGCGAATAGACAACATAAAATTTCTCAATCATTTTTGTTTGAGGAATATTAGAAAAGCCATAATTCCTCCTAAAAGTTCAATTAAAAACAAATGCCCCTTCATGACAAAGCTTCTGTGAAATATTTTGCTGAAAACCTGGTTGCATCGCATTGCGATGTTCCTTGTCTTTTCTTCCTATGTTGAAAATTCTGGTTGGTATGGCAACAAATAGACTGAATTTGAAGATTTCTAATTTGAATTTTTACGCTTTTTCACTATAACTTCTTTATTTCTTAAGGTGTTTACTTCAAACTTTAAATATAAGTTTCTGGTCATCAACCTCATCATATGTGACAAGGTTTACAACTCTAGCACAAAAATAATCAGAATTACCTCCCTTGAACTTAGAATTTTTATGATATCTTTTTTAAATAACTTCTTTATTTCTTAATGTATCTACTTCAAACTTCATATATATGTTTCTTAATTATCACTCAACATTTGTGAGAAGGTTAAATACTCTAGCAAGACTATTTCCAGAATAATGTCCCCCTTGAAATTAATTTTTTTCAAGAAATTGGTATTTTTTACTCCAAATTCTTAATTCCTTATAGGATTTACTTTAAAATCCCACATCGTTATAATATGACAAGGTTCATAAATCTAGAATCCATATTTCCAGAATTATCTCCTCCTTAAACTTTGAATTTTTCTTATTCATTCTTTAACTATCTAATTTTTTCTTCATGGATTTTCTTCAAATTCAAAATAAACATTCATTATCAACACCTAAAAATATAACTTAAAAATGACAGATTGATATTTATAATGCATTAAAGGGAGACACAGGCAAAAATATTGATTTCTTCATTTCGAATTTTTCATACATCATTTTGTAAATGTCCTCAAAATGAATACACTAGGCAGTCACATGAACACACATTTTCTCTTTATAAAAAATAAATTTTTTGTTTCCTAACTTGACCCACGTGGGTCAGGTTAATTAGAGCATTAAGATTTCACAAAAGTTGTCAGACTGAACTCTGGAAACATTAAAGAACATGTCAAATGAAAGGTTTCAACTCATTTCAACCATACAATATCCACAATATCTGTTATTGTATCTTCCAGAGTTTGTTCAAGTCACATGACTTGTTTTAAAACTACTCTGTGATTATGTCCGCATCTAAATTTTGTTCAACATATATAGATATTTTTATGCTTCAAACCTTAAATATATAGAATTTGTACAGAAATTCATGCTGGGGCTTAAAAAGTGTCATTTTAGCATGATTTAAGTACATAAGATCATTTTAATGTTTAAGTCTTTTATTTGCTTGAGTATCCCTTTAAGACTTGACATATGCTATATCATTCACATAAATCATGAAAATATATCCATATTATTTGATATTTTGCTGATTGAAAATTGAGGTATTTAAGAAGTATCAGGCCATCTGAACATAATAGTTCAGCAAGTTTTCATCCAAGTATAATTTACTGCTGAAAGACACTTACTTATAAAATGTTGATTTATATCCAAATATTTGGTGATGCTTATTTCCTTGTATGAATTTTATGTATAAAAAATAAAACTGTTATACTTTTCAGTCTCTTATGCAATTATTGATGACAAACGAGCTTGTACCAAGACACCTTGTGACTGTTGAAGGGGAAGATCTACGCGTACAAGGAATACAATGCCTTATAGTTCACTATCTATCTGTAATGATGTATGTGAAAGGGGACAGAACTCTGCTTCAACCTTTACAATCTCTTATGATGAATCCTCAAGCATGTGCTGTATGTGTATTTTGTCTTTTTAAAAAAAAGCATATAATGGGTGTAAAACCTATTATTTATATTTCTTTATTTGAATCAATGTTACAATGTTTCTCTCATTTATTGATTCTTCAGCTATAAATGAAATTAACAGTTACTATGGAAGTGTATTATCATCAAAATTTATATATTGATCTTATCACTAAGATAAAAAAAAAGTTAAATTTTTAAATTAAAACTTGAGTCGATTTCTGTATTCAAACTTAAATTATTATTATTCTTTAATTTTTGAAATTCTTGAAATTTTTTGTACATAAATAAACCATTTGATCCTTTCTCAGTGATAGATATTAAAATAAATTAAATGCAGAAAAAAGTTTTATATACTCATTATTGTTTATTTTAACAATTGTTTTATTGCATGCAGACAAATTTTGCTTCCTCATATTCTTTATGAATGTATCTACGTTTTACATGAATGTTTTTTTTTTTTATACCAATGTGAGTTACATTGTATGTATATGCTGAGGCCCACATGGAAGATAGGGACACCGAATATGCTAGCCTCATTAAATAAAGTCGTTACTAGTACCTTGTAAATATTGTATGTTACAGGAAATGCTCTTACCTACAATGCCACAAGATGATCTAGAGGATATAAGAAATGCCCTGTTGGATGCTGAAAAGAACAATGAAAATGAGAATCCTGTTGTTTACCGTAAGAATTATTTCAGTTTTTATATTCCCTTTTGAAAAACTAAAAACATGTCATATTATGAAAAGGCCCTTGGTGGGCTAGTGAAGCATTTCTTTTACTTGCATAGAGGGATTTTTGTATTAATATATTCATACAAATAATTTCACCATCTTGAGACATGTATATCCAGTTTGCTCAGTCAATG